CCAGACCCTGCTTCTCAAGCCAGAATGCTTCTACAAGAGCAGGTCCCTGCTGTAAAAGGGGTTTCAAGGATGTCTCCTTTGGCACATCATCAACTTAAGAGAGCAGGTCTGAGACATCTCTTGATGAACAATAAGCTTCTGAGAACTAGGTTTCCTCCTCCCAGGATCGAATGTCTGAAAGTGATCTTTCGATGCCACTTCCCTGTGTTTAAGCCAAAGCAATTGGTGGCAGACTTTTCTGGAAAAAAGTACTGGCAGCTTGGAAAGCTTCCTTCTTTCACCAGAATTGTGAGATTGTTTATCTGTTTGCTGGTCCCAGGACTGATGGAGGGAGGGGGCAGTTTAGTGAGACTCATAAACAGATTCTTGTCAACAAACTATCCTGTGGATCCTGATTGGCTCTGTACAGGCTTATAGCTAATTACAGGAAATGCTGCAAGAAAAGGTTTCACTGAGACTTATGCTTTACTCTGGGAAGTCAGGTTCCAGTACTGAACCCTGAGAAGGCATTTCTCTGGCTGGTTCATGGGGGCAGGAACTGGCTTCCTTGCCTCTTTTGGCTGATACTGCACACCTTCTGAAGGAACAGCTATGACGTATAGGGGATCTCCACTGCTGTCTCTGGGGGCTGATGTGACTTCTGAGGCCCATTACCAGTTTCAGCTTTTCACCAGCTATCCTTTCCTTATAGGGCTACCCTACCTGTTGTGACCCATGCACTGCTAACCTCATAGTTTTCCTGCTGATCTATTCTGGTGCTTTTCTGGAGCCTAGTTCAAAACCTGCAGCTAGTACAAAATGCAGCAACTGGGATACTCATGGGTGGAGCACCTCATGTTGCACCTGCACAAAAAGAATTGCACTAGCAACCAAGTAGCTATTGAGCCACTTACACGTTTTTGCTATTGACATATAAAGTCCTAAATGGCTTAGGACCAAGTAGCCAAGCACCTGGCTGCTTTCTCTTATATTAGAAAGGGTCCAGAGGAAGGCAACAAAAATGATCCAGGGTTTGGAAACACTGCCCCAAGAGGAGAGGCTCAGAGAACTGGGCATGTTCAGCCCTGAGAACAGAAGACTGAGTGGGGACATGGTATCCCTCTACCTCAAAGGCTGTCACAAAGAGGAAGGTCAAGATCTCTTCTTGCTGACACCAGAGCATAAGACATGGAATAGTCAGTTTTGACAAGGCTCGATATCAGTTTTAGGCTTGATATCAGGCAAAGTTTCCTCACAGGCAGAGCAACACAACAGCAGAACCAGTTGCCTAGCGGGGTGGTGGCCTCTCCCACACTAGAGACATTCAAGGCAAAGCTGGATGGTCATCTGAGTGGGAGGGTGTAACTTGGTGGCCTGCAATAGCAGGGGGTTGGACCCGATGGCCTTCTTGGCCCATCCAACTCTACTATTGGCAGACTCTCGGTTTTCACTTTGTGACAAATCATAGAATAATAGTATTAATGAGGCTTCTCAGCCTAGCTAAGAATGCCATCTTCCTAAGGTAACAGCAACACTAAACAGCAACCTGGCTGAAAATTCTGCTGCTGTGTGAGAAAGGTGTATATTTGATTTAACAACACAAAGGCAGATATAAGCAACCTTTTTCTACCAGGATTTATCTGAATTTTCCCATGATTCGCTGGTATAAACCCAATTGACCCCTGAGATCTTCTGAAGAGATGCTGCTGTTCATTCCATGGCCAAGGGAACATCACCAGGTAAGTCAGCAGATGTTCTCAGTGGCTGCACCCTCCTGTTGTAGCAGTTCTCCAGTGTGTGGCTTGAAAGGCAAGAATGCTGACACGTTATAAACTCAACTCTTCAGAGGCTTTCCTTGACCTGTGAGGTACTCTTATTGCCACTGGGCTGTTGCTGTTACGGTAGTGGAATCTTTCTAAATGCGCTCAAGGTTTGTATGCAGGAACTGAGCAGGGCTGCCAAGAACAGGCCATCTTGGTGGGCAGGTATTCACAGGGTGCGACTTGATGGCTCATAACAGCAACAAGAAATGGTAACATTTCCAAATCTGTTTAATGTGTTGATTGTATTATCTGAGGTGATGTATTGTGATGTGTTTTAAGTGAGAACCACTTCAGATTTTAATATGAAAGCAAGCAAATAAATGAATTGCTAAATAAGGACATAGCTAACAGGGGATAAAACACACGGGTTTATGGTTCAAGTCTTTGTAAGAATCGCATTCAGATAAAACCAGATCGAGGATAGGCTAAGCAAAACGTCATGAACAAGGTTTCTCACTGCGGGGAATACTTCCTTCTGTTTTGTTTCTCGGCTTTGCTGCAGGATTACAGCACTGTTTGCCGTAAATAAATAAATAAAAATTCAGCAGGGAAACCGAATCTCTCTGCTGTTTCCTGCCTTAAAAAAAAAAAGACCTATTGGACATTCTGATGTGAAACAGAAAATAAAAGTCATTTGCTCTGTATTCTGCTTTCGCTCTTGGTTAAGTTTCAATTGCTGAGAAATAGAATAACGGGAGGAGTTAATGCTGTGCCAGGCTAGTTATAAAGCATCCTCACCTCTGTAGCTTGAGAGAAGAAACCAGCTTCTTGCTTTGATTTTCGGACACAAAGGTAAGAAATGGTATAATCCAGTGGTTCTAAACTACAGGATGAGTACAACTTGGGGTACGAGGAAGAGGGGAAAAGGTGCTTGGAAGGAGCCATAAAATGCTAGAGGAGTGATAGGATCCTGAATTAGGTGGTTTCTTCTTCCCTTGCAAACACATCACAAGAGAGGTAAAAGCTATACTATCTTCCTGTAATTCAAGGGAAAAGTAGCTCAGAAAGAATTGCTGCTTGTCATTGGTTATCAAGTCTCCCAGTTCCGGGAGTAAGTGAAGAAATCCTGATCCCCTTCCGCTTCTAATGCAAATAATGGGAATAGCATCCCAATATTTGCATTATATTTAGCAAAAAGGTTATGTGTATTCTGCTCTGTACAAAGATCTTGACTTCCTTGAACTTGCAACAGATGAGCTGCAAAGAGAGATTTGCAAGGAATGCAATGAGTTCCAAGAAATCTTGAACAATTGTGCAACCTGCTTTAACAACAAATTACAAATTTTGATGAATGCCTGCAGTTCACTGCATGATCTGACGCACATTATGCAAACAAAATACATTGCCTGCTTGACTGCCTAAGGCAGTTATTGGACTATTCAAAGGGCAAGTCCAGATCCCACCAAGTTCAAATATATAGAAAAACTGTTTAGAATAGCTAAACTTCAATGTGTGACTGCTTCTGTTTGGCATCCAATGGTAAGTGGTGGTGCATTTTGTATTGAAAGAGTAAAAAGTACTTCTAAAGTCCTATGTACTTTCGAGAAATCATGTATAAATTATCCAGTTTTCTGTTCGGCCGTTAAGGAACTGCTTAGCAGCTTTATGTCAGAACCTGTTAGCACCAGGGTTGCTTTGCCAAACCCTCTTGGGCGTGGTACTCAAGGCTGAGAGGTGGTGACACCTGGAGGCTACCAGTTGGGAAAGCCACCATAGTTCTCTTGGGTGTAGATTGCCAACCTCATTGCAAAGTGCCTAGCCTGAGTTTTGGGATGGGAGGCTTCCATAAAGTGTGCCAGGCCTTCAATTATCCCCCTCTAGAGATACAGGATCGTGCCTAAGTACCCATGTTTTAAAAGCAGTTAATGGAACACCAGATTCCACCCCCATTCCCCATTTGAAGGAATGCACAGTTTGGCTGCAATTGCTGCTGGTGTTTGTAGTTCTTTAACAATAAATAAAGAAAATGAGAGATGTGAAGATTAGTTATGTTACATATATTCAGCATTACAAATGCTGTGTTGGATAGTTTTACAAAGAGTGAAAAATAGGATGATTGGCCTGGGTCTAGGAGAGGTGTGGTCTGGCATGTTAGCTTGCTCAGGTGGTTCAGCAAGTTGCTGCTACCAAGATGCTGACCTAAAACAGCATACAGGGCAAACGAAAAAGCAGCAAAACCTTATTAAAATAGCCAACGATGATCTTTATGCTTCCTGTGATATATCAATCTAGGACATTTTTTCATTCTAGGAAACTATTAGATGGATGAGGAAATGGTGTCTGTCCCCTTAGTCCATACAAATGATGCAGCTCCACAGAAGAATAAGCACATTAAGTTACTGGCATACAATATATCCAAAATTAGACCCAGTGTTGCTGAAATCCACACCTGAAAAAATGCACAATAAACTATATTTAGGACTAAATGAATTTTAAAATCCAGTTTTCAATATCCTGGTCCAGAACTGGATGCCCCGGCAGTAACAATGATTCAAAGAAAGCATAGATACTACTTCAGTGTGTGGATAGTACAAGTGACTACATGTAAAAAGGCGCATGTATCCTTGTGTGTATTATGCAAATATAAGATAAATAAGACCTCAGTATCCTCTTCAATAAGATATGCCATGATTTGCCACTAGGACTGTTTTGTCAGACCTGTAGCTGTTCTTTGAAGGTGCTATCCTATGCAGGTTGAGGCAGAAAAGAGGCCTGCAACTCCCAGATGTTTTTAAATTATGACTTAAATTCTGTCTTAGCTCATATGATTAAGGTGCCTTTTATGGCGGGTTGTCCCTGATTCCGTCCCATGATGCTGCTGTAACCATACTAGGCCCATCCTGCTCCACTTGTCTGGAGCCAGTGCTCTTGGCTGTGTGTCCTATCCCAATTCTGTGGTGGTCGTGAGGGAAAGTTCCATGCAATTAACTCCAACCACATGATAACATTTGGTCAAAATCATCACCTAGGAAACAGGCCCATCTTCCTGTGTGTCTGAGCCTCAAAGTTTGATAATCATTTGTCGGATTTAGACACGTTTTCCTGGAAATGTAAACTTCCTCTGTTATTAAAATGCTAACCATGTGTTAAAATTGCTTATGTATAGTCATAGACTGGCACCACTAAAGAAGCCATACTTTGTTCATGGATTAATCCTTTTAAAAAATCTGCTGCAAATGTCTATATCAGAGTCATATCATGATTGCCTCCAACCCCTTATTGGGACTCCTAACAACTTTGTTTGTCTCTCAGGAAGCTGCAAGCGCCTCCTTAAGCACCCTGTATAAGGAGACGGTCCACCCCTGAATTGACCTCATTGATTCCCTGAGAGCACTTGCAGTGGAAAACAACTTGGCATTGCCAGCGATTGCTGCGATTGGACACCAGAGCTCTGGGAAAAACTCAGTTCTAGAAGCCCTGTCTGGAGTTGCACTCCCTTGGGGCAGTGGTGAGAATGCCCAATCAGCTTTTGTCCTTTGACATGTTTAGCATTTCTGTGTGTGAATGTGATGTGGTCATTGGTTGCATAGTTCGCTGGCTGTTTAATTCCCTTCCAAGGAAGCTAACTTCTCTCCCTCACTACTGTCCTTCCACCAGGGAGTAAAGACCATTTCATTCCATGAGGCTTTTGGCCTACTAGTGGAGCTTTTTAATCTATTTTATTTATCAATTTTGGTAGAAAGGCAGGATATAAATTAAATAAGTAAATGCATTAAGAAAGCTGTCCTCTGACTGCTCCCTGTGCTGAGAAAGGTGGCAATGATGAGGGAAGACTATCTCGGAGGTGGCTCCAAGCTGGTAGAATGACTGACACTTGCTTTGTTCCCTTGAGGCGCCTGACAGAATTGTCACTCCATCCCTGCAGGTCTTTAAAATACCTTAATTTTTACATGCAATTCGTGTATGCAGCTTTTTATTTGACATTTTTCTTGTTAGTTTTTATATTTCTGGCTCTCTATCTTTTCCTGTAGTTTTGTTTTGTGGTGTTGTCTTGGATTTGTTGCTACTGCTGCTCCTGTTGTTGTTCTTGTTTTTTGAATGGGCAGAATAATACTCCCTTTAAAACAATATAATGAAGGCAGCAAAGGACAACTAGATGAAGTGTGATACTTCCTTCCTACTCAAAGACATCAGCTATGTTGGATGGTGTTCTGCTAGTTTAACCAACCTTTTTTGTCATTCTATGTTTCACTGACATTTAAAATAGAGAAAAGTCTTTTTCTTCTTTATCTTAATCCATTCATTTGATACAAAAGTGTAACTTCTTGCTTTTAATAGGTATTGTTACCCGATGCCCCTTAGCGCTCAAACTGAAGAAACTGCCGCATAAAAGCAAGTGGAAAGGGGACATCCAGTATTCAGGCAAGATGTGCCCACTGACTAGCCCATCAGATGTAGAAGCTGCAGTAATCAAGGGTAAGGGTCATGCACTATGCAATTCTATGCATCTTTACTTAGAATGTTAGTAGAACTGCAGCCTAAAACTAATTACTTTTCTTATGTCCCCTTGTGGTTGAGATAAGATCTCAGAAGAGCTAACCAACCAAAATGTGTTGCTGCCAGAGCCCCTGTCTCTGCAAGGGAACAGAGAGGGCCTTCTTTCCCACCCCACGTGCTCTCTGCTGGTGCATCCGGTAGTTGCTGAAGACACGTGAGTCAATGTGCTGCCCCTCCGGTTGTAAGCTGGAAGGAAGAGGCCGAGGCATGCTGTGCCCAGTCGATTACATGTTGGTTCATTTTGTAATATGTTGGAACAATTGCTGAGTTTTCTGTAATCTAGTCTGATGTTCTGCTTTCCCTTGATAAATGTAGCCCAAGATGAGATAGCTGGAACAGGAGTGGGCATTAGCCACAATTTAATTAGTCTGGAAATCAGCTCTCCAGATGTTCCAGACCTTACTCTGATTGCTCTGCCAGGGATTGCAAGAGTGGCGGTGGACAACCAGCCACAAGACATTGGCCAACAGGTAAGTTGGGTGAATGGTCTACATTGGTAGGATCTGAAAATCGCTTGACTGTTCCCTATCCAAGCCTATACTTCACATTAATGCTGTTTTTATCCCACCCAGTTCTGCTTCTGGAACAGAGTTCTACTGCAGCTTTTTCTGTGCTGTCTTCTTTCTTTAGAGTTTAGCTTTTTCTCCAGCAGAAGGTACTAATTGGTTTTTACAAGAGGAACCATGAAAGCCCTTTGCATATGTCCATGCAGATACATCAATAAATAAATAAGATGTAGTAATGTGCCTTGCCCAGCCCAGCCCTAGACCTTACACAGCACCAAGCCTTTCATATTGCTGCACATGGAAAGTCTAGGCGAGGAGGCTCCCATGCATTCTGGCTCCCTGCATCCTGTGGTATGCATGCATGCTTTGGGGACATCAGCATCAGTGTGTGGCCGTCTGGAGGCAGTGTTGATGCTATGTAAGAGCTGAAGCCAAGAGGCATGCTCTCATCCTGAGCCCCACACGTGTGGACAACAGAATAAGATCCCTGCCGGAACAGCCTAGCAGTCCCTTCACACAGTGACCAGCCAGCTCCCCATGGGACCCCTCAAGCAGCATGTGGGTGTAACAGTACCATCCTGCCCATGTTCCCTTTGACTGGATTTCAGGACCCTGCTGCTGATCTGGAGGTAGCAATGAGCCATCAGGACTAGGAGCCAATTATAGCCTTCCCTGAATTTGTCCAGTCCCCTTTAATGCCATCCAAATTGGAGTCTATCGCTTCCTCTGCAAAGGACTGATAAAGGCAAGTAAGTGGCAGGGCCTGGTAGGAGTTGCTGGCTGCAACACCTTCTCATGCATTTTGGCGGGTGACTGCAAGTTTGCAGGGAGATAACCATGCTGTGCTCCATTGCTATTGTGAAGGAAGGATAATTATGCATCCTCAGCATTGGAAAAAAAAGTTGACTTATGCCTCTAGGTTTGTTCAAAGTTCTACCTATTGCTATCATCTTTATCACATACAGCACAGGTCTTATTGTCTGGATTTTGTTGCAGATAATAGCATTGATCAAAACATATTTGCAAGCACGAAACGATCAATTTGGTGGTGGTGCCAAGTAACATAGATATTGCAACCACAGAGGCACTGAAAATGGCTCAGGAGGTAGACCCTCAGGGAGAGAGAGCGCTTGGTAAGTGAATAAAACTCTTCAAGCTTTTTAGCTGCAGGGAAAATGGTTATTGTTGCAAATGATGTTCATTCACATGTTATTCTTTCCAGTTTGACTTTTATAGAGCAGAAAGCCCATGTCACTTGGTTAGCTTCTGACTGTTGGTGCAATAGTATCTGAAGCCACGCCACTCTTGAAAGACCATCTTCACTCAAGTGTGTTCCATATCTTGGGTGAACCCCTAGTTGATGCCCCATTTCCAGGCTCGGTTACCGTACAGTAAATTCCTCTTGAGGGCAGAATGTGCTTCCTCGGGAATGCTGCATGTAATGGTTGAACAGAAATCCCAGGAACACAGCTTGGTTAGCCAGGAGAGGCTCCTCGCTGATGGATCTCCAACATAGTGCTTTGCCCAGTGGGCTCAGCACACACTCCTGGGTAATTCTGCTCCATTGCACATTTTGAAAATACTCTGTTTGCACAAAGAAGTAGCTGGATATTCTGGAAGGAGGAAGGAAAGGTGGGAATGATGTCGGGACTCAGCATGGCTGTCCAGAGCAAGCCTGGATCAACTTAATGGGCAGCAGTCATGGGTACTAAGCAGCAGATACACAGAATATGGTCCAAGACAATCAGTTGGACTCCAGAAGGTGGGACAGGAAAGTAACAGCCTGCAAGTTGTTCCAGTAGCACAGAAAGTGCAGTTCCTGAACCCTACTGCTGGATTCCCCAGTTTGAGCCTTCACTGGGGGCTCCCCTGCTCTCCATCTTCCTCTCTGAGTGGTGGAGATGCCCCTTGACAGAGAACTTAACCGCTGAATTTAACACTAAATGTAATGCTACATGCATTTCACCCTTTCAAATTTCCCTTTATCATGGTGCTCTCTGAAATAGTATTTGAATGATCTCAAATCTGTTTCATGGGGACATTTTAAAACTCTGCCAAACATGAGCAACAGTCCTCCTTTCCAAGCGAGCAAATAATTGGTGGGCCATGGGCAGTTGTGGGGGAAAGGAACAGGGCCATCTGGGAATCTACCTGGAAGTCTCACACCTTAGCCCACTTGCAGGTCCGACTTCTTAATCCCAGCATTGAGCAGACATGTTTACTGAGTGCCCAGGATGTTCAGAGACAGCCTTTTTTTCTCATTGTGCAAGGTTTAGGCCTGAGGTCTAGATTAGAATAAATCCTGATTTTTATCAATAAAAGAAGCCTTTCCTTATTATTTATCAATTATTCCAAAGACATTCTGACCAAGCCTGATCTGATTGACAAAGGAACGGAGCAAGAGGTAATTAACATCGTCCAAAATCAAAGAGTTCCTCTGAGAAAAGGATACATAATAGTGAAATGCCATGGACAAAATGACATCAATGACAAAATGAGCTTGGAAGAAGCAATCCAGAAAGAGAAAATTTTCTTTGAGGCGCATCCTGTCTTCAGGTAGTGTTTACATAATGTTCTTTCTTGGCTAAAATCTGAAGCTGAATTGAGGCAATTTCTATAACAGAGGCCTGCTCTCCTTTCAAATGCATCGGGCTGTTCCATGGCTTGAAGATGTGCAGTGGAATGCCCAGTGTGAGGTGCTTTGTGCATTTTGATGTAGGACGGGCAAGAATAGGCAAGAGGTGAGGGACCCCTGAGTATCTAAAACTTGGCAGAGAAACATGGCTCTCGTAAATATCATACTGTGTTTTTGTAAGGTTTGCTTGACTGTGAAATATGTCATATTGAATATCATATCAAACCTCCACCTTTTCAACCTTTTTTTGGCATCTGTGAACATGAGAGTCAGTTTATTTAATTATTTTTACACAATACTTTGTGCTCAAAGTAATCAAAGGCAATTGCCATAATAATTATTAGTAGTATAACATTACATTTCTGTACTGCCCATACCAAAATTCTCTGGGTTGTTCACATTTAAGTCACCCATCCAGATTTCAACCAGGGCTGACCCTGCTTAGCTTCCAAGATTAGGCAGAATGGACTTCAGGCTATATGGAAGCTATTTAATTATAAGACATTGCAAGGACTTATTTAGAACATATCAATATTCCAGAAACTCACAATGGACATCGCTCTGTCAGCCTTGCAGTTGCTTCAGGAAGGGAAGGGGAACAGGTTGCCCCTGTGCAGCTTACATGGTTAGCCATATCCAGCTTTTGTGGCATGGTGTTGTACATTACTAGCTAAGGCAGAGCAGAGGGATACATACCTCTGTTCACACTCCCATACATTTTCTGCCTCAACTGATTAAGAAAAAACAACCGACTCAGGGCAGAGTTCCTTTCCTTGTTTCCTAACTATTTCCCATGTTACAAGGTGGGAAAGTCTACATGATGTACCCTCTTTTAGCTCAGTAAACTTTGATGCATGGCTCAGAGGTGGACTGGAAAACCCCAAACCACTCAGTTTCAGCATTCAGAGAAAGAATGTGGTGTAGCTGGACCCTAAGTTTATGGTGTCTAAAGCAATAAGCCCATTTCTGTTTCTTTAATTACTCCTCAAATTGTAACCTGTTTACATAGTCCCAGAGAATTAAGTGGAAGTCTGTTGGTTGGTTCACAGTTTAACTTTGTTCTGATCCTGTGCCTGGACTGAGGCCTACATACACAGGTCTCAGTCATGTGAGCGATTCTCCAGAAAATATCTGGGAACTGACCATGCAATTGAGTCTTATGCAATTGAAAGGAGGCTACAGTTGTGCCTGGGAACTCAAAGCTGGACATGGTGTCCTCCTTGGATTTGGAGGGCAAGCACACTTGGCTGTGGGGGTAGGAGGAGGCCTGCCATATCCTTATGGTTCAGTGCAGAGATAGTGATCAAATCAGGCCCAGCGGAGCAAATGTGGGAAAATGTCTTCTTACCTGTATGCAAACAATGTTTTGAGTCATTTCTATATGTGATTCTTCCTTTTGTTCCCTGCCAGCTACTATCCCACTGCTGGCAGAAAGGCTTACAGAGGAGCTGATAGGACACATTATTGTAAGAGAATCCCAGTTTCCTTAAAGAGCTATTCCTTGAAAGGGCTTTGCCATCACAGATGAATGTATGGAAGAGAAGAAGTAGATATTGCCTCCCCTGTCCACTTAATGTGCATTGTGTGAAGGGCTCATCACACAACTATTGGGAGTAGGGCCGTGCTAGTTACACTGTCCCAGGTGTGCACAGAAAGTCTTGTGTGTGAGCACCTTTCCCTGTGCATTTGGGGGCAGCATCCACAGCTCCTGGGAATTGTGTGATGCCCCTTCCATGTGATTCTTAAACCAAGGGGATTTCTGCTATAGTGTATAAAAGTATATCTGCATCAAAGTTTTACAGTTTGATATGGCACTTTGAAATGAAAAATAATAATAGCATCAAGAATTCTATGGATAAAATAAACTCAGATTTTTCTCTTTGCTGGGACCAGCATTAAAATATTAAGAAATTTATTTGAGCATAAGTGTTTGTGAAATAAATGTGTTCCAAGTACTTATAATGGAATAAATGTTAGTCTGTGAAGTGCCACAAGACTGTTGCTTTTGCTGCTTAATGTGACTGCCTCTCTGGAAATGGTCACATAAATATTGTCTGATTTATACAAAAGATTAATGCTATAATAATAATGTAGGATCTTCATTTCCGTATGTTCTTCTGTTTTTTGGATCATGGCTGTGGCTAGCCGTACTCTTGTCGCCAATTCACCTACGCAAGTGTTGGGGCTGCTATTGGCCACAAAGGGGGAAAACACACGCACTGGGATTGTATGTTTTCCTTGCTTTAGCTAACAGCAGTGCATGTGTGCATATGGGTGCAGGGGAGGGACTTGTTTTGAGAAATCAGTACAGGTGGGAACATAACCACACCATGGCCCAAATTTGTCCCATCCTTCCTCATAACTTTTTGTGGATTGCCCAGGTCACATATTCCTGGCTTTATGCGGCAGAAATGACATATGACATGTGGCTTCAACATACCTTTTCCCTGCATACTTGTTTGGCACTGGAGACTGCTATTTCAAATGAAGGACTGCTGAAGTAGGGAAGGGTTTGTTTACCTATTCCCTTGTGCTTCTTTCACCATGCAAAGCTGCTCTTCCTGGCAGCTGCTTCCCCATGTGTTTTCAGCCACAGGGGAGCAGCTTGAGAGAAGAAATCCTGAGTAGAAAAAATGGCTGGAGGTGGGAAATATTATCCCTCAACAAGCCCTGGCCTCAACAGGAATTATTCATATTTGTACAATTTGTTTGTCCTGTGTGGTTGCATGCCTCAGAATATTTATTTATTCAAAAAAGACAGCAGTTTGAGGAGTGGACAGTTTCCTGCCCCAGTGGATTTGTTCTAAACAATGCAGGGGGTGTGGTGCTTGTTGTAGTTGTTGTTAGTCGCGAAGTCGTGTCCGATCCATCGCAACCCCATGGACAACATTCCTCCAGGTCTTTCTATCTTCCACCATCCCCCAGAGTCCACTGAAGCTCACGCCGACTGCTTCAGTGACTCCATCTAGCCACCTCATCCTCTGCTGTCCCCTTCTTCTTTTGCCATCTGTTGTTCCCAACGTTAGGCTCTTCTCCAGGGAGTCCTTCCTTCTCATTAGGTGGCCAAAGTATTTGAGTTTTATCTTCACTATCTGGCCTTCTAACGAGCAGTCAGGGTTGATCTCCTCTAGGACTGACTGGTTTGATCGCCTTGCTGTCCAAGGGACTCGCAGGAGTCTCCTCCAACACCACAATTCAAAGGCCTCAATCCTTCGGTGCTCAGTCTTCCTTATGGTCCAGCTTTCACTGCCATACATTGCAACTGGGAAAACCGTAGCCTTGACTATACGCAGGGTGATGTCTCTGCTTTTTAGTATGCTGTCTAGATTTGCCATAGCTTTCCTCCCCAGGAGCAAGCGTCTTTTAATTTCTTGGTTGCAGTCCTCATCTGCAGTGATCTTGGAACCCAGGAAAATAAAATCTGTCACTACCTCCATTTGTTCCCCATCTATTTGCCAGGAAGTGAGAGGACCGGATGCCATGATCTTAGTTTTCTTAATGTTGAGTTTCAAGCCAACTTTTGCACTCTCTTCCTTCACCCGCATCAAGAGGCTCTTTAGTTCCTCTTCACTTTCTCCCATTAGAGTGGTATCATCTGCATATCTGAGGTTGTTGATATTTCTCCCAGCAATCTTAATTCCAGCTGGTGATTCATCTAGCCCCGCCTTTCTCATGATATGCTCTGCGTATAAGTTAAATAGGCAGTGTGACAGTGGTGTGGTGCTTAGGTGTATGCTTTGTCTCTCAGCCAATTTAATTTGCTTGGGTCACTGGACAAGTCCGTGTGGGTAGCCTTTTAAAAGTGTGCATTGTTGGCCTAATTTCACAACACCCAAACTACAATGAAATTAGTGGTTTCTGTATCTCACCAGCATTTGGCAGCAACACTGATCTCAGTCAAAATGTCAGATTAATCAATTAATCATTTTATGAATTCACCCAAATAAGAGCCATTAAAACACTCTATTTTGTGAGATTAAGACTGAACACTGAAAGCCAGTGTGGTGCAATGTTTAAGAGACCAGGTCTGAGACTCAGGAGATCTGGGTTCTAAGTCCCAGTTTGGCCATGGAGCCAATCAGGTGACTGGGCCAGTCACAGACTCTCAGCCTAATTTATTTCACAGGGTTGTTGTTGCAGGTATAAGATTGAGGGCAGGAGGAGAATGGTGTAAGCCATTTTGTGTTCTTTAAAAAAGAAAAGGGCAGAATATAAATCTAATAAATAAAAATGAACATCTTTCTTTTATTTTGGTGCCTTGCTCTTTCATTCAGAAATCACTACCAGCATTAGAAAATCAAATAAAAGACAAACTTGAAGTAGCACATATGAAGCTTCAGCAATGTGGCCAAGGTGTGCCTGAAACTATGGATGAGCAGATGCTTTACCTTATAGAAGTAAGTATGATTATGGGTTGGGCAATAAATAGATGTGTGCTTTCATGGTTTATTTCTACATTGCCTGAACACTACAACATGATATAGTAGAAAATTTAAAACTAACTATCTAGAACTCGATAGGTAACTTAGTTAAAAGTTTATATGAACTAGACACTATTAAATGTTTCCCATCTACACAGTTTAGCTTGGCAGAAGACATATTTCTAACACCTTTCTTTTCTTTTCTTTCCTTTTCTTTTCTTTTCTTTTTTCTTTTACAGAAAATCCAAAATTTCAGTAAAAGCATTTCTGAAAAAGTGGAGGGTCAGGAAATTTTAATGGATGAGCAAAACTCAAGAATGCTTGCAGGAGTGTGAATCTGTTTTAATGACTGGCAAAATACCGTTAATGGAAATGCACTAAACGGTAAAGTCTTAAAAGATTTCTCTACAAATGACCATTTCATCTGAGTACTCAGATAGTCAAGCTGAATACCACCAAACCATGTGTTTGTATTAAGTTGGTTATAATGGGACAGAACCTGGGAGAGAGTCTGGGCCTGCCAGGCAAATCATGCCTTCCCCTGTCCCCATCCGTTGGAAAAGTTCTGAACAATGTGGATTGTTTCCAGGTTCACTGTAGCTGCGTTGTGTTGCAGCCCTTTGTGGTTGGGTCTGGGACGTGGTCATGCTACAGGATACAAGTGCTTCAAAGGCAAAGTTGTCCAGCAATGATCTGGACTCCTTCACTCTCCTACCATTTTTACAGGGGCAGTCATTATTAACATAAGCCTGACTGGGTGCCTGGGACCTCTTGGCTTAATAATTGATTGTGTTGCTCTTTCAGTAGGAGGCATTTTGAAAGAAGTCAGCACCTTTGATACGAAATACCGTGGCAAAGAACTCCCTGGGTTTGTCAGTTACAGGACCTTTCAAGAAATTGTGAAGATGAACATAGAGATGTTACGTTCACCAGCTATTGAACTCTTAAAGGAAGTTGCAGGTCAGTTCTGCAGTGATGCTTTACTTTCTATTCCCAAATCTGATTTCTGTAAAGTGCTTTGACAAATGACTGAATGTATCCTTTCTGGATGCTTTGTAGGCATGTCTAGACTTTAAATGGAGCCCCGTTGGTGGGATGGGAAGATAGGATATAAATCAAATGCATAACCAAATGGTCTGGGAATGCAGTTGAAGAGACATACAATTGTTTGGAAGCCCTTTCTCTGGATAGAGAGAGAAGTCCGAAATTGGAGACCTTCCCAGATCAGCCACAGGAAGCTCTACTGCCATTGATATACTGCTGGCAGCACCATGTCCTGGTGGCATCTGGCACAGGATGTTCTGGGGGAGGTGATGGATCCACAGCGATCTGCACCCGCTCAGTCCCTCACCAGAGCTACTGAAATGTCAGCTACTGTTGTTGGATTCAGTTTGAGGGAAAACTGTTTACTGGAGGGTGAGGAGATCAGGCAGGGCGTTGGTTGCAGCAGATGTTCCAGTGTGGATTGTTCATCCAGTAAGTAGGCTTGATCTGCCCTGAGTTGCTCGCTCATTTTTTGGATAGGCCACTTTTAAAGGTGCAATGCCACTGTCCTATTTCTCTACCCTCTCGTATTCAGGCTGAATGAATCTGAAATCCAGCCAGAGTCTGCAAGCAGCCCTAGTAAGAACCAAAGTCAGAATCTAAGTCAGAACTTTACAAATAACAATGCAAAGGAGAATAATACAAAAGGTTTTGGGGAGAATGTAGTCCAATCCAGGCCAAGGTCAGTTATCAGTTTGTACCCAAGCAGAAGGCAGAGCCTATAGGCAAGTTGCAGGCTGGACCCAGAGTCAAACATGGACCTTGTGTGGGTTCACATGGCACAATAAACCACCATACCCCTAATGCATCCAACAGACAATCAGGCACATTGTGGGTATGGTGCCCTGCTTTGTTGTTCTGTTCACAGAGTACACCATGGGAGAACTAATGTTCTCCCTTTCCCAGCTGAGAAAGTGAGCCATCTGGGGCTCTGCACAACCTACCTACCTACCTACCTACCTACCTATCTATCTATCTATCTATCTATCTATCTATCTATCTATTTTAGCCAGCAAACGCTGGCTTTAAAGTTGGCTTCTGCAGCAATCCTTTCAACAGCTATGAACAATCCCACCAAGGTGCTCCAGCAGTGCACCTCAACAAGTGCACTGTCTGTCGCTTGTAAACATATTTTTAAAAATCATGTCTCCCATTTGCTACCCTTGTGCAACTGCAGATGCCTGCAGTTAGACAGAAACAGCAGCGGTGAAGTGGGGGGAGAGCAGTAAAGGGTGGGGGGAACCCTGTTGGTGAAGCACTCACCCTGCTCAGTGTCTCCCCTCTGCCAGGTTCACCACAGCTCTCCCTGTGTAACTGCAATCATCTTTAGTTAGAGAAGGCTTACATTAAAAAAATAAATTTGCAAAAACTGGGTGGATTTTTTTAAAAGTTTGGAAAGCATGGGCAGCCCTTCCAAGGTAGCCATCACAAGGAGGAGCTAAAGCCAACTTTCTCACTCTGACAAAAAAAGTCATGGTGATCCCAAGATGTTTTACAATGGGGAGTGGGGCAGCTCTGCTAACTGCTCCCAAATGCCATGTGAGTAATTCTGTGGCGGCTGGCAGCACTGGTCGCCCGGGAGTCACTTGGCTAGAGTGGCAAGGGTGTCTCGCCACTATTGCCAAGCACCTCTGTCTTTCTTTGGGTAACTCACAGTGTGCCACAACATCTGGGTTCAGATGACACAGTGGGCCATGCAAAGCCTATAATAGGCCCTGGCTTATAACCAAATCATAAGGCAGCCTGCCAAAACCATGCCAGGTTTACACACTGCGCTAACTCAGTCACTGTATCTACCCGCTTCGGCTAGAATCTGCAGGTTTATCATTTGTGCTGCAGGCTTTAGCTTTCCATATATGAATCTGTTGCCAAGTCATCAGATCTTGTTCCAAAGGATTGATTAGCTGTCCTTAGGAAGAGCTTTTAACCAAGTTTATACCAGATCTTTCTTAGTTTAGGAAGCAGCCTTCCTCTGTCCTGGTTCTTTGCTATTGCTTGGGGTACACTGTTCTTTCGCTTTACCCATTCCTTGTCTGTCTGCCTCTGCCATACCAGCTCTTTCATTATACTGCTGTACCTACGATTGTGCCAATCCCCTTGCAATGCAGCTAGCTACAGTTCCTGAAACTTCTTCTGATGCTTGGCCCTTGCTTAGGGAGCAAGCTGAACAGAAGTCCACAGACACTGTGGAACTCTGGTTACACAACCAGCAACCTTATTCCATAGCCTGTGCAGCACAAACAAAAACTACAAGTCTTGTGCAGAGAAGGGGTAAACTGCTTGTGCAGGATTTGTGTTAACTCAGCTACTGATGAGCATCCGTGCAACAGCCTGCTGCGCTTTGCAGGAAGTCAGACTCACAGCCATGAGACAGTGGTCCAGAGTCTGGGGAGCCAAGGCCAAGGAATCGGATGGTTTCTCATCCCCCGCCCCCCCCCCGCTAAAAAAGTTTTTCTTGCACATCCCTAGCCGCACCTCCTCATCCTGTTATAGCTAAGTATTGATCTTGCAGTTACTGGCTGTTACTATTTATGTTGTCTTTCATGAAGTTGAAGTTTTAAGTAACATAGAAGTGGAATGGATATGAATTTTGCTACCTGGATAAACTGTCCACTATATGTTGAGACCCAAATAGAATGAAATTTCAAGAAAGAAAAGGAAGGAAGGAAGGAAGGAAGGAAGGAAGGAAGGAAGGAAGGAAGGAAGGAGGGAGGGAGGGAGGGAGGGAGGGAGGGAGGGACAGCCTGCCTGCCTGCCTTATTTTAACATTCATTCATTCATTCAGGATATTTATATGCCGTCCTATTGCAAAAGCCTCAGGACGGCTTACATAAATAGAATACAAGTCTTTTAATCTTTATCAACTTTTTATTTTGGTTGTTATCTATCCCAAAAGGTTATTTCTTTCAATTAACTTGTTCATAAATGAAATCTTTCCCCACTTTTTTGATCTCTCTCCCCCCCCCACCTCAGTGCTTGAGATTATTTTTAAATATGTCATATCTTTATTGTTTAAATTTTAATATTTTGGAATAATTAAAATGCTGATCATTTAATGATAATATCATAATTAATATCATTATGATAGCCACTGCAATAGCAGAAGTTATACTGCAGTTTTCTTCTGGCCCTCCTGGACCAGTTGTGCTTCCTTAAGCCTCTATTAATGCTAGAAGAAAGTATGGGAACAAATTAGACCAATTTTTCAAATTGTCTGGGTCAAGAAACAAAATTGCTTAGCTGTCCTGTTCATATTGCCCTTTCTGCATAGCTCAAGATCTCCCCAGCAGGAACTGTCCAATAATCAATGAGAAAAGCAGGGAGCTGGCCAACAGGAAGGTACAAAATTTAGATGCAGCCTCAGAACTGTTTAGCCTTTGACCAAGCAGCTTTATGGGTGATGTTGCAGCTGCCCTTTTCCTAGCCTGTCATCAGAGTCCTGATGTAAATTGAGTTATCTGCCCTCTTCATGAGCTGCCAAGCAGGCATTCTCGGTCCAGCTTAAGGCTTCAGCTTGTGAACATTCCCACCTCTGCTTTTATGGTCTGATGGTGAACCAGGTGAGTCTAGAGTGATGAGACAACAGGTGGGTTATTGGTATCCAGGGCTCTCTTGATTGGCAGCACGGTTCTCTACTGCCATGCAGTTCAGCTCTTGTCTCATCTGCAGAACCAGGATACTGAACACTTTACTGCTGCCCCTGCAGTTAAGATCTAAACCTAGGCCACCAAAGAATGCCACACTGGCCAACAGGGAAAAAGAATAGTACCTGTGATTTGCTCCTGGAAGAGGATGCTACCCATGCTTCTACGAAGCCAAGGATGTGCTTTAAATACAGTGTCTGTCTGTGTTTTAAATGTGTTGCCGTATTTTGATTCTTTTTGTCACTGTTGGACATGGGTTTGGTTCTTATTTTTATGTTATATGGCACTTTTAAACGTTTAAAGTTTTGCATTTTTGTGCTTGTATTTCATCATGTTGTATTTTATGGTTTGAATTGCTGCGAATGGCCAAAGTGCTTTGGCCACTGAGTGGTACAAAAATGGATTAACTAAACGAAGAGTAGGTATAAACCTCTCAAATGTGTCCAACTGGGTATCATAAGCAGCACCAGGTATGGCTTGGAGACACAAATATGCCATCTTCCGGCTCGGATGTCTGCCCAAAAATCTCCTGGCTTTGAGAGTCTGTGCCTGGTAATGGAAACTTAACAGGATTGGAATTCTGCTGGTGTACAATCTACCTAGCCAAAGCAGCAAGAGGTTGTCTCAGTTATGTTGCTGAAAACACCAAAGCTTACCATCTTGGGGGACATAATTAGTATATACCACAAGACCACTTTATCTGGAAAAACTGGGGATTTCTGACTGTCAGGACAAGCATAGAAAACCATTCCTGCTGTGGCAGGCTTGCCAAAGCACAAGTACCTACCCTGAGTAAATGACAGGAGTAGTGTTTGGCTGAGACCTAGCACACTAAACTCCTATGAACCCTAGAGGTTATTTAAAAAGAACAAGTAGGAAGAGTTGCCAGCAGCTTGGTGGGCTCCAAATAAGGTTTCTTGGGATGCATTGGTACCCAGAGGGAGAACATTGCCCATCCCAGCTCTGGATGTTGTGGATCAGGTAAAAGTGATCTGTGAGTTGATTCTGTTGGGTTTGGAGAGATCTGATCTGGTTTGGCTTTCATACTGGTTCTCATCACTGCCACCTTGAGGGACACATTTTAATGATCCACTCTGGACCTTAATGATTTCCTAATGTTGCTGGGGTCCTCCCATTTAGGTGGTTGCTGAGTCTTGGTTTGTTTTAGTTCTGTTTGGCAGACCAACTTTCCTTTTCTTTCACCAAGAAACTGTATTACTGACAGATAGTCCATTTGAAGTGCTTCCTAATTTTGTCAGTCTTAACTTCTGTTTAAATATATATCTATATCCTCTTATTTTCAGAGTGCAGGAATCCGTATTGGCACCCAAATTCCCATGATAATTCGGACTTGCGTTCTCCACGATTGTGCTGAGAAGTTGCAGACTGCAGTGTTGATGCTCTTGCAAAATAAAGATCACAGTACGACTTTCTGCTTCAGGAGGAGAAACATGTTGCTGGAAGGAGGACCAGGGTAAAGGAACAGATCAGCCGTCTAACCAAAGCTCAACGGTGCTTGGTAAAATTTCCCATTTAAACAGGCAGCGGTAGCTAGTAATAGGGAATATCATTCAGTGAGTTACTCATACCATTGAGTAACTGAATTAAATATTTATTTTGTTCATAGTCCACAATTGTTTAAAGTGCTCACACTAAACAGCTTAGGGCCTGGATATCTAAAGGAGTGTCTTCTCCCATATACACCATCCCTTAGATCAGGTCCCTCTCCATGAAGCACCCTTGAAGGAGATAAAGAGGGTGGCTATGAGGGAAAGGGCCTTCTTAGCTATGGCACCCCATCTGTAGAATCATCACCCCAAGAAAATATATCCTGTACCGTTGTTATATGTGTTTTGGCACCAGATCAAAGCATTGTTATTTTCTTACCATGTTATGCTATTTAGTTTTATACTGGCTTTTAAACAGTTTGGTACAAGTGGAATAGCTGTTACTAGGTATTGTTTTGTTTATTGTTTGATTATATGCCTGCCAAATTGTGGATGTTATGACAGGCAAGTTATTCATATTATGGCAAACTAGATGTGAGTACCATAGCACAGTATACTTCAGTTAAATTAGACTAGAGCTGCTATTTGGGCCTATCCACAAACAATACGCTTGTGCATTTCTGAGCACAATTCAAAGCATATGGTCACCTATAAGGCCTTATTACAGCTTTAGACTGAGACCTCCAAATATTTTGGAATACAGGTGCCAGCATTCCTTAGTACTGATCATGCTGTCAGGGGCTGATGGGAATCGGAAAGGTAGGTCTTTTTGAGGTACCAAGCCTTATGAAGTTTGGTTGAAAACCATTGAAGAAGCCTTTCTATTTCCACAGTCACACCTACAAACTCTTCCACAAGGGAGATTTTCTACACCTGCCTTTTTGGCAATGCAAAGTACTCCCATTTGTTTTACCCCTTTTAAATGGAAGCTGGACTCCATTTTATTCTGAGGCCATGCTTGCGTGTTGATTTTTGTTTTACTCTGGAACCAGTCAAAGATATAGTAATGGCTTAGAATATAACTGTAAACAGCAATAAAATGAAACTAATTTTACCTTATTGTGAGCCATCATTTTCACTTGCATGTACAACACCCTCCCCCATTTCCTCATCAAAGATTGCAGAATGTGGAAAGTACAATGCTAGATCATATGACGCAAAAAATAAAAAAGATGAATTCCAGCTGAATAGCTCAAAGGTTCTCTGTAATTCACAAATCAAGAAAAGCATCTTTTTAAACATTCTGAATTACATACAGATACCTAATTCTCTCTCTCTCTTGTTTTATTTATTTATTTATCTGGAATTTTTGTATGCTGTCCTATTCGCATAAGCCTCAGGATGGCTTCCAACATCATAAATAATCAATCATACAGACAAGTACATATAAAATCTGGATTCATCCTGGCTAAAAATTAAAAATCAATAAATATTAACAATTATTAAAATATTGTTTAAATAAAAAGGTCTTGGCCTGGCGCCGAAAAACAAATAACGACGGCACCAGGCGGACCTCTCTGGGGAGCGCAGAGAGGCCTCTCTTACAGGCCTTGAATCCTTAGTAGCCTTTAACAAAAATTAACACTTTCCTAGAATCACAGAATTTTTAGCCAGACACAGAAAGACTATAAAAAGTTTATTCCTTGTCACTTGAGTACAAAATACACATTGTATTTCTGAAACTAAAAAACCCCATTTCCTACCTAAAACTGTAATGATGGATAGTTAACAATTCTGCAGGATTTATTTTGAATAATGGCACTTTATTACATAACCTATTGTATCTCAGAAACCTGATGTGAAAGTTTCTTCACAATCAGGCACATTTTTAAAAAGTGAATTTCAATAGCAGCAATATTATGTCAGTCCATTCAAATCAAAGGGGAAGGGGGGAAATCAATGCCATTATGTTTATGATCTAGTCTTTCTACAGAGTAACATACCTAGGCACAGTAACATCTTCATAAATCTTACAAGAATGCATTAACTGGAAAGATTTGTCTGCTTAACACATTCAATTTTGTCAGTGTTTTACAAAATGAGGTAGTCATAAGATTAAGTAATTAATGTTGCTTTCTTCTTTCCTTTTTTCATAAACTTAGTATCTGGAGTTGACAAGAGTGAACTGTGCACAGCGCAGCTTCACAAGATATTTATTCTTTGCTTAGAAAAGAGACAGAAAATGTTGAACTATTTGTTAGTCACCGCTTCTGGCTTCAGCAACTCAAGATGCATCTGCTACATGTCTAGCTGCCAATCCAGAACTCTTATGTGACTTCAAAATGCTAGCTACTTCATTCTTCCTCCATCAGATATATGACCCTGGAGTATTCTCTTTAAAAAATGGAAGTCCAATAGTTTTCTGAAATCAGCTAATCTTGATTATACATGCATAATGGAGAAAGGGAAACATTCAACTGAAATTGGATATATACTTGATTTCAGAATTAATAATACCAGCAAAAAGTATAAAGAATTATGGGTACCTGAATATATAAGATGTATTTTTCATCTGTCAGTGACATTTTAGAAGAATGTCTCCTTTCATGTAGTATTTCAAGTCCCGAGTTTTCCCCGAGTCTTGAAAATCTGGGCTAGCCAGCAGCCCAAATATTCACTTCACTGCTATACTAATCACTAAGAAAACACTATATACTGAACAACACTTTAAGTAACGAGATGTTGTGCTTGTATTCCAAAATAGAAACAGCAATTTACAAATTTGGTTATAACTTAAAAATAAAATAAAAATAGCTGTGAATCCTCAGAAATAAAGGAATCTTCAGCAAGTAGTTGGTGAAAGGAAATGCTGGCCACCCGACTGTTGCCATCACAAAATACAGACTTTTGCAAAACCTAATTTATGCTTGGTAGACTAATTGTGCTTGCAATGGCACCAAGCATTTGCAAACAGTCAGGTTATAGTCACTGTATGAAGTGTTGAGGACCTAAAAGTCATTTTTAAAAGACACTTAATATAAAAATTGGGAAGGACAAGAAAGGCTTTTTGATCCACCACTGAAAGAAGCAATCCAATGCATCACTGGGGCAGCAGTCATTCCACGGGGAGAAGATGTGGCAGAGTGGAGTCGTCATCATCTGTTTGCCTGTCAGAAAAACATGCACAACATGTCAGCACCCCTGCCCAAAAGTCCTGAATATGTGGGTTTTTACTGACCGCATTTATAGTATTAGTGAACAACTATTTCAAGATTGGTAACACACTCAAGAGGAAAATCAGAGGGGGACTTCCGGTAATGGCATCGAGACAAGGCAGATGTGATTAACGACCCTCCATCATTATCACGCTGGTAAATGTCCAGTGGTGGGCCGTGAGCCCAATCTAAGCCCTGTCGGGGCAGAAGATAAGTGCTGGAAATCTCCCAGGTGGTGTGGAACAGCAATTCCATGCCTACTGGGGGAGAACCAGGCATTTTCAGCTGGACAACACAGGGAGGAGATTAGCCTCCCATTAGTCTCCGACATACCAGAAGTTTAGTTTAGGAATTTCTCATTGGATTTACTGGGACACATTTATTTTCTGTTTTTTTTACATTATTACCTGTGGGAACGCTGGGTTTTTTTGCTAATTGATATAAGGGGGGGAAAAAGGGAAGCCCTCCTTTCACAGAACTGCAAGCGGCAACTGAGATGAAGGAGAGAGACGGGGCTGTTTGTAAGTCAAGCAAAGGCTTTCTTTTTCTAATCTCTCCAGGGCAAAAAAAATAAAAAAATAAGCAATTAAGGTGGAATTGATTGATAGAAAATCTTTCTCTATACTGGACTCCTGCCAAGGATATCTAGATATCTGCCAAGAAACTTTTGTATTATGTAGCGTTTTTCTCTATTTTATGATCATCCTTGGGTGAGCATTGCTTTCCTTTCTTAGAAGGCTATTTGTGGAAAAGCTGTACTTGTTACTAATTGGTATGAGAACAAAGAAAGTAAGTCCCTTTGAGGGAGGGAGGAAGCTTCCCCCCCGCCCCGCAGCCATCTAACATTACGGGGAGAGGACTTAAGGCTTGTGTAAAAGCTGAAATCGTGTCTCTTAAACCTCCTCAAGGGCGAAAACTAAAGTAACAGTTACGGAATTAAGCTATACCAAAATATAACTTGTTGAAAGTTACTTTTTGTGTTCTTGGCCATCTATTCACTTTCTGGGACTTTTGCCAGAAAAATTGGATGACTGCCAAAATATTCCTGCCAGGCTAATTAGAAGACTGTGATCTGCTGACACTCGGTGGACATTTGAATTATTGCAAGCTTCCCCCCACCCCAACAATTTTCTGCTGACTCCGGTGGACATTGGAATTACTGCAAGCTTTCTCTCTTTCCCCCCCCCAACGATTTTCTGCTGACACCTGGTGGATATTGGAATTACTGCAAGCTCTTTTTTTTTCTCCCCCTTTTTTCCTTTAGTTCTTCTTTCTTTCAACTTCACCTCTCCTTTCTGTTTTTTTTCCCCCTCCTTTTTGGTGAATAACTTTCATCATGAGGAAAACACAGACCTCTTCCTCAGCTCCCTGTTCAGCGACTCAGAGCCCAACTTACCAACCTAAGATAGAAGAGATGGCAAAAAGCTTAAGGGAATTGCAAACAATGACTTTGGCAATACAGACGGCCTTAACAGCTTTGCAAGCATCCCAAGAGAGAATGCAAGCTTCTCAAGAAGCGATGGTAACACGGCTGGAGAGTATGTCAAGTGAACAGAAAGAGCGATGGGATAAATTGGATAACTCTGTTAAGGAGATAACAACTCAGCTTTCTGATGTTCGATTCAAAGCTGAACAGAATACACAAAAATTACAGCAAACACAGGGAAAGCTAGAAATGGTGGATAAAGAAACACAGATAATCAAACAAACATGTAAGTCAACATGGGATGCCGTGACCGTATTAGAGATGGAAAAAGCAACTTATTACTTAAGATTTCAGAATATATTAGAGAAGAAAGTGAGAACTTGCAGGAATTGATGACCAATATGCTGGCAGACCTCTTAGGTGTAGGTAATGAAGCCATGGAATTGGGGATCGACCTGATATATAGGGTCAATTCAAGCTATACTAGAAGAAACAAACTCCCGAGAGAAGTTCATGTCAAATTTTCTCTAAGGTCTATAAGAGACAATGTTTTGAGGGATACACGTGAGAAACCATTAAAGAGAGATGATCATCAAGAAGTGAAGGTTCTGAAATAAATACCATGGAGATTTAGAGATGGGAGAAAGAAATACTTATTTCTTACCACGAAATTGATTAAGAAAGAGATTGCTTTCAAGTGGTTAATACCAGAAGGAATATTTTTCACTTGGAACTCTGTAAGATATAGATTAGACTCAATTCTCAAAGCCCAAGAATTCTATGAAAAATTTAGATCGATGCTCGAAGAGGAAGAACCCGGCATTGCAAAAGAAGAAGGAAAAAGTACTGAAGCCATGGAAGTAACAGTATCATTCGGAAGAAGGAGAAGTAACGAATCTCGACCCACAGCAAGAAGCACAAATTTTGGACTCAAAGGAGAAGAGAAAGGGTAGAGCTGTAAAGGCGAAAAATAAGTAGATATGTATATGTACATATATGCATATATATTTATATAATTTTTCTTAAATATGGCTACAAAAAGAGAAGGGAGAATTGAGTTCCTCTCCTTAAATGTTAATGGACTGACTGGACCCGCTAAGAGAAGAAGGGTTTTCGCCCAACTTCAAAAATGAAAATTAGATATAATTTGTTTACAAGAAACACATATTAAGAAGCAAAGTGTTAAACTTTTGGAATGTTTAAAACTGGGAAAATTGTTTGTATCTTCTAATTCTCAAAAGAAAAGAGGTCTAGCACTCTATGTTAAGGAAAAACTGGAACCTAAATTTATTCTTGCTGATGAGGAAGGTAGAATTCTGATGGTTGAAATTACAATTAAATGGAAAAAAGTACTTTTAGTGGCAATATATGTACCAAATGATCATCAGGAGACTTTTTACCAAAGATTACACGTTACTTCTACAAGTGGATTTCCAGCCGATGTGTCTAATGGGAGATTTTAACGCAATTGTGGATAAACAAATAGATTATAAGAATGTTAGTAAAGGAAAAAAGGGTAGGAGGATACTCCCAAAGTCCTGCTCTAACGTGATTGAGGAATTTAGACTGACAGGCGCTTGGAGGCACAAAAATGTATCTTCCGCCAAATACTCTTTTTACTCAAATAGACAGGTCGTGGTCTAGAATTGATATGGTTTGGATAACTCCAGACTTAGTACCAGATCTGATAGAAGCTGAAATAGAGACAAATGTCTGGGCAGATCACAACCCAGTATTCTTATCACTAAAAGGAACTGTAAGGGCGCCCAGATGGAGCCTAGATAAAGCATTGTTAAAAGATAAAAAATTCACAGAAAAGATGAATAAGGAAATGCAAGTATTTTTTCAAATCAATAAACCAGAAGAAACTTCTTTACAGAATGTCTGGGATACAGCCAAAGCCTATGTTAGAGGAGTGATAACACCATACTCAGCACAAATAAATAAAAAGAAAAAACAAGAGCGAGCTCTGATAGTAGAGGAATTGATGAAATGCTGTAGGAGGACCCATCAAAACAAAGTCTTAAGTCTCAGCTGTATATTTTAAGGCATAAGTTAAACCTTTTGGATACAAATGAGCTTACTAAACAAATGAAATTGACCAAACAGAATTTCTTTGAAAATGCTAATAAACCAGGGAGATAGTTAGCACATAAAGTTAAGAAAGAAAAAGAGAAGAGATTGATCGTGAAATTGAAAGACAGAGAAGGACAGCTACATTCACAGGGTGCACAAATCAAGAAAACAGAGGAAGACTTTTTTACAAAGCTTTATCAGAAGGAGGAGATTTCAATCGAGAAAGTTAAAGAATATATTCAAAAGGGAAAGTTACCAAAACTACCAGAGAAATATCAAAAATTATTAAACCAAGAAGTCACGATCATGGAAGTAATAGAAGCAATCAAGCGACAAAAGAATGACAAAACTCCTGGCCCGCATGGACTACGAGCCGAGTTTTACAAATCTTTCGAAGCAATATTTGCTACACTCTTAAAAGACATATGTAATGAAGCATTGTTAAATACTATGATACCGACTACTTGGATCGAGGCAAATATCACATTAATACCGAAAGAAGATATGGATGTAGCACAGATTCAAAATTACTGACCTATATCACTATTAAATGTGGATTACAAAATGTTTGCTTCCATACTCGCAGAAAGATTAAAGAAGTTATTAATAGACTTTATCCATCCAGACCAGAATGGCTTTTTGCCAAAAAGACAAATGAAGAATAACCTGAGAACTATCTTGGATATTTTAGAATATTATGAGATACATACTGAAATACCAATGGCCTTATTGTTTTTAGACATCCAAAAAGCCTTTGATAATGTTAATTGGCAGTTTATGAAACAACAGATGATTCAAATGGACTTTGGTGAAAGATTTATGAATGCGATATCAAGTATTTACCAAAAGCAATCGGCCAGGATCTTAATTAATGGAGAACTTTCAAACCCTATAGAGATTCAAAAGGGCACAAGACAAGGATGTCCTCTGTCACCCTTCTTGTTCATTATGACTTTAGAGGTACTGAATAGATGTGTTAGGGATGACGAGGGTATCAAAGGAACTAGAATTAGGGATGGAAGTTATAAATTGCAAGCATTTGCGGATGATCTGGTTTTTATAATGGCGGAACCTTTTTCAACAATGCCCAAACTTCTACAATGGATTGAAGAATATGGTGAAGTTACGGGAATGAAAATAAATAGAGAAAAAACAAAATTGTTAGTCAAAAACCTTACGTGAGAACAAAAAGAAAGACTCCAGGAACAAGTAGACTTGCAGATTGTTAAAAAGGTTAAATACTTGGGAATCTATCTTACAGCTAAATGTACTACCTTGAAAGAAGACAATTATGATAAATTATTGAAGGATATTAAAGGCTTTTTGGAAAAATGGACCAATTTACAATTTTCTTTGATTGGAAGAATAGCTCTTGTCAAAATGAATATATTACCTAAACTTTTGTTTTTGGTTTTTTTTTATTATTATTATAACATTTCTATGCTATGCATTTCTATTGTTTCAAATGATTCCCATAAAAATTGATAAAAAATTCTTTGATGACTTAAACTTTCATATCTCGAGGTTTATCTGAAGAAAAAAAAACAAGGATTAAATTAAAAATGCTTCAGGAAGCTAAAAGAAATGGAGGTTTTGGTCTTCCTGATTTGATGTTGTATTATCAAGCGTCTGTTTTAACTTGGCTAAAAGAATGGGTAACGTTGCAAAATAAGAGAATTTTGTATCTTGAAGGCCATGATGCAGATGGGATGGCATGCTTATATGTGGTATGAAAAAGCTAAGTCACATGGGTCCCTTCCTGAGTCATTTTATTAGAAGATCTTTAATGTCAGTGTGGGAAAAACTAAAGCTAAAACTGTATAATAAGTTACCAAGACGGCTTTCACCTACAGAAGCTTTTGTATATCCAAATGTATTGAACTTTGAAAAGATCATAAGATATGGCGATATCCTGGATAAGGATGGTGGCCTGAAACTGGAGCAAGAAATACAAGAACAGGGACTTAATATTTCCTGGTGGTATAAGGTGCAGATGCAATCAAGATATGCTAAGGATCGTAAAACATGGGGGTTCTATAGAGACCTTAACAGAATTTGATCAAGTGATGCTTAAAACAGATGAGAAAATTATTAAAAGACTATATGATTTTTTACTTGACAGGAAAACGGAAGGAGATCAGGTTAAGGAAACTATGATAATATGGGCACAAAACTTTGGATTTAATGTTGAACTAGAAAAGTGGCAAAAACTATGGGAAAGAAACATTAAAGTAACTTTAGCAACTTTGTATAAAGAAAACTTATATAAAATGTTCTATAGATGGTATTTGTCACCAAGTCAACTAGCTAAGATGTTTCCAAATATGTCAAATAGATGTTGAAAATGTAAACATAAAGTGGGTACTTTTTATCATATGTGGTGGACCTGTGACAACGCAAAAAAGTACTGGATTAAAATACATAGATGGATGGAGGAAATATTACAAAAACCCTTTGCTTTTAAACCCGAAGTTTTCTTGTTAGGCATTATACTGGAAGATGTTAACAGACAGGAAATCTATTTGATGTTGCATCTAATTACAGCAGCGAGGATTGCATTTGCTCAATATTGGAAAAGTGAGGAGCTGCCCACCAATGGATTGATTCTAAGAAAGATCTTGGACTGTGCAGAAATGGATAGACAGACTTTATCGTTGAAGGAGAAAGAGGATACTGATTTCTATTGAACTTGGGACTCTTTTTATAATTGGCTGGAGAAACAGGACTTGGCATAAATTTAGAGATGTTTTTCAAACTATGATAAACTAACTGGAATTTGTTATTAGAATGTTAAAAAATATGTAGTAGGAGGATGACCCAGTGAATCCAGTGTTAATGTTTGTGATGTTTGATTTTTTTTTTTTTTTTTTTAGTCTTAGTTTAAAAATTTTAAAGAGGAAAATCAGAGGCTGAATCAAGTAGTGTCCATATACCACAGAAGGATCGGGGCTTCTTTGCCTACCTTTTTTCATACCTCGATACATAATCCTGCAACAGCAGGGGGTTGGACTCCATGGCCTTCATGGCCCCTTCCAACTCTACTATTCTAGGATTCTATGAAAATAATATAGACCAACTTTATCCCAACCTGATGATGGGAGTTGCAAAGCAGCACATTCAGAGATCATCAGACTGGGGAAGGTTTTGGTTTGATAGAACTATGTATGAATTCTCAGGACACAATGACCTGTAGGTAATGAAAAGCAGCAGTGATGGGTGTGACTATCGACATCTTTGAATTCCTTCCCCAAACAGAAAGGAATTGTTGCACAAGAACTGGGTCTGTGTGTTCACTGTGTAAAACAGCTGCCACACATTTAACTTAACATGAGCAATTAAATTAAACAACATCACACTTCAGGTTCCAGGTGTGACAGAAGTGGACAAACTGGATTCCAGGGATGAAGAGGATGGCCAAGGCTCCCAATGCACGTGCCTGCCTCCCATGGCCAGAACTTGCTTGGGAGTGGGAACTGGCTGCCCCTGCCAACTTTCTCTTAGCTCCCCATACCGCAGCTGCATCGGCATATTCCGTGCCACAGGTGCTGCATCTATTACCTATTATTTACTCATTAGGAAAAGGAAAGGTACCATTAATATTTAGACATTCCAACATGTTTTAGTAAATGACACATTCTCCAGCTCTTTTCCAACAAAGAAAAAGATACTAGGAAGGCATCAGGAAGAGAAAACTAGGCGTGGGAACCGCTGGCAAAAGCCCAGCTCTGCAGAATGCATTGTGTGGAGAAGGCTACAGAAGGCACTGGGAGCAAGCATAGCATTGGTGCCTCAGCTAACCCACAAAGCAGTGAGGAAGTGAATTGGAGCAAGACTTCTATTCCTTTTCCATGCTCTTTCCTAATATTATTATTATTATTATTATTATTATTATTATTATTATTAGACCACTACTTGATTTCCAGAGCAGCCAAGATAATTTGATGCATAAGCTGTAATGAAGCATAGGCTGCATATAAGCAGTCCCACCACCCTGTGCATATATTCTCCTCTGGCCTCACAGGCAGACCAGTCTCTTGTGGCAGCTGGGTCTGCAACCCCTGCTTTGCTCATCTATCACCCAGCAGCAACTTACATGGCACACGGTAAGGCCAAGGAGGACTTCTCCTCCGTCTCCCACAAGTGCGCTGGCCATTTTACTTTTCTCAGAACATTTATTATATTTTACCATGAACCATTGACCCAAGTTTAGAAAGTGCTGTCAAAAAATACTCGAAAGAAAATTACCTGCATATTTCGGTAAATCCAGTCCGTGAACACAGTCATGTTACCATAAACTCCAGGTTTAAGTTGACTAGCGCAGCCTGTTCCCCAACTTGTGTCACCTACTAACCACCACACGGTGTTTTTCAAAGTGACCAATGGACCACCACTGTCCCCCTAAACAAAAACAAAGCAGAAACAATTATTGTTGCAGTTGTATCACAGTTTACATTGCATGGGAAAATACACAAACATTTCAGGTATTGCATCTCAACCAATGAAAATGCATCACAGAGAAAGCAGGCATGGGGCAATGAGAGGCTGCCACCTCAGCTTAGAACAAATGGATTCCAACAGACGGCACAGCCAATCTTGACGGTGCTGGCAGAGCAATTCCTTTGCTTCATCTCATTCATGGCTGCCACCATGAGGATAAAGGAGCAATTGCAAAGGAGGCAGAGAGTGAAGAGTCAATTGTTGCTGGAAGATATACTGAATGCCTTATTTCCTGAGGGCAGCAGGAACAGGGGGGAAAGGCCTATTTCCCACATTGTTCTACTGTTTTTCTGGCAATCAGGCAAGAAGAGGAAAACCGCAGGAAATTACAAGCACACCTCATTTTCTCACGTCAGCCTTCTCAAACCCTGCTCCCAGCTTCAGAGTACCCCCCAACACCAGAAGCATGTTTGTTCGTTTTTATGTTAAAAGAAACTTTAAAAAGCTGCACCTAACTCAGATGAGTCTCGGCTAGTAATGCATGTGCCAGCCTGTTCTGGCCTCTGGTTCCGCCTGTTGCTGCCACCTCGGCCTATTATCCCTGGTTCCACTTGCTATGGATGCCCGCCAACCACAATGGATGGCAGCCCCCACTGCCCTCCAGAATCCAAGTGGCATTACCTGACAAGAATCCACGCCTCCTCTTAGGTAGCCAGCACAAATCATAGTAGGCAAGATGGCTCCATTATAAATAAATCTGTTATTACATATATTTGATGGTATCAGATGTACTATTGCTTCATTCAGCTCTTTTGAAGTGTTACCTGATGTTGATGGAAAAGGCACAAACAATGAGACATTTAGAGCCGCTCATACACTAGCCACTACAAGTGTCATCCACAATATTTAAACACCCATGCAAAAGCTTTGAGAAATTGTAAAATGCAACAGTAGAAGGTGTCACTAATCTTCCTCACCTGTTGAACTTCTTGTGGAAAACAGGAAACATCACACAAGCAACATACAAAACAGGTTCAGACAACAAAACAACCCATGGTCAACAGTTGAGAGTGGGTTATCATTGTACCACTTTGGGGGCAGCAGGCACTGCTGGATGCCCAAACTAAAACCTCAGTTTTCAGGTTTTATTGCAGTGCTGGCACTTTGCCATAAATAAGTGGGTTTTGGGTTGCAGTTTGGGCACTCGGTCTCTAAAAGGTTCACCATCACTGCCCTCAACTGTTAGGGTATGGATATCAGTAGGAACATCTCTTTCCATTTACCCCTGAACTCTAAGTTCTTCCAGTGAGGTCCTTTTCCTGGAGCCCTCCTTGAAAGAGGCTAGAAGAGTGGCTACCCAGGGTAGGACCTTCTCTGTGGTAGCCCCCCGGCTATGGAACCTGCTTTTCAGAGATATGTACCTGGCACTGCTGATTTATTCATTTCAGTGCCAGGCCAAAACCTTTTAATACACCCAATATTTTAATGGTTGAATGGTTTTTTACTGTGCATTTTTATATATTGGAAACTATATTTTATATAAGTGCTGTTATTGTTCTTGCCCTCTGCTAGCTGTCTAGAGATCATTCTTGATATAAGGCAGGATGAAAATGTTTTAAATAAATAAATAAATGCATAGTTTTTGCTGCAAGAAGTGAACACAGCTCATTCTCCTATTTTGTTCAATTTTTGGCATATTAATATCCCATCCTTCTTTCTGAAAGGGATCCAGTGCAATTTACACAATCCTCTTCCTTCTCTCTCTATATGTGATCCTGTGAGATGGTCAATGACGGGCCCAAACTCACCAAGTGAGCTTCATGGCCGAGTGGTGTCTGCAACCTGGATCTCCCTTGTCCCAGTTCAACACTGTAGCTCTTATGCCACACTGAAAAGTACTTTTCCGTTCCCACTGTATGTATGTATCCTCATTTTTAATGTCTTTGGGTTTTTTGTTTTGTTTTTTTTTACTGGCTGGAATTGGGAAAGATCATAATTCGCTAATAGTCATCTTATTGCAGTACAAGATACCCTGAGCCAAATTTTGACACTCACTGCAACAAAATGTGCTGTTTTCAATATTCAGCAGCAATCCCAAAGCTGCACAAAAGCATTTTCCACTAGGTACCTACTACATACAATCTTTTCATTCATCAGATGCATCATTAAATAAAGCAAAGTCCAGATTTTGCCTGTAACCAATTTTACCTCCTTGGCGTCTGGCTCCCCATCCGGTTATCCAACTCCACTGCTCAGGCTGGAACATCATTCCAGGGTTGGGCAAACAAACTGGTCTTATAAATTCTGTGAAGCAAGAATAGACTGTTAATCAATAACTGTGTTCCCAGAACAGCTTCCTCACTACTACAAATATAAAAGGTTTTCAGGGACAGCTGAGGGATCATTTCTAGCACCTCTGTTTCTCATAGAATAACCAAAGGAAACATTTATGCACCAGATACACAACGCAGTCGTCACTAAATCCCCTCACTGCAAACAGGACTTCTCCAGCACCCCACACCCAGCCAGAGTATGGAGAGCGGGTGGGGGAAATGGAACAACTCAGGCACCGCACTGCCAGGTGTGTGCAAGCATTTACTTTGTGTGGTCTACCAGGCACTTTCATTTCAACAGTATTTAGCAGAGGCTACAACGTTTCCAAGTGGATTTAGAATGCTTACTAAACAAGGGGACACATGTTCAACAAACCCTATGTGACCTTGCACAAAAAGACTTATGGAATACATACAACTGTTCCAGCAGGAAGTGCTGTCCAGGAATGGGCTGTTGTAGCGGCACATGAATTGAAATAATGAAGAAAGAAAGAAAGAAAGAAAGAAAGAAAGAAAGAAAGAAAGAAAGAAAGAAACCAAAGCGAAAGATAGCCCTCAAGTTTGTTTATTCCACTTATATTTTGCAGCTAATTGGTCCCAAGAACTCTCTAAGCAGATTACAAAGAAACAATAAAAACAACATATAGTAAAAGCATATAAAGCTATAATAAAAAGAAACAGTAACAGGATACAATAAAATATACAATATGAAGCGGAGGGGTCAGATATAAATAGATTAATATAACATATTAAATAAAAAAACACTATAAAACTATATGCCTTAAAACTGAGCAGTATAAAATCAATTATTAAAATGTTTGGAGAATACGATTGCTCCTGGTACCAAAACGCTTATAATGATGGCACCAAGTGAACAACTTTTGGAAGGCTGTTCCATAGTTGGTCATTCAAAGTAGCAGTCTGTAAGATTACCCAGGCCTTTTAACTGGTCATCTTCCTCAGAGGAAAATATGTCATATTTTAGTACACTACTTAAAATCAAATGACTGAAGGAATGTACTTTTCATCATTAGAAATTAGTTCAAGACAGTGCCAGACTCTAAAAAGCCTGCATTAGAAGTTGATTCTGTCTGAGAGCCAAGCTTTACCTGACCCTGCTCCTGGAAGCTGATGAAGGTCCTAGAGAGCACGGTGTTATCAGATACAAAGCACAATCTTGTGTATGTTTCTCCAGACTGAAGCCCAGAACAGGACCTGTTTGAAGCGCAACCTGAACCTGCTCTTTTCCTTTCCCCACACACTCCTGGTGCTGGTTTGAGCATTCATATGTCACTGCACTGAGATCCTTTGTAGCATGAGGGATTCCTATATCCATTCACATTTCAGAAATTGAAAGTTGACCTTTGATCAATGCAAGGCTAGCTAACATTTCCAAACTTCTAGGCTACCATGCAAAACAGTGTGATGCAGTGGTTAAGAGTGTGGGACTGGGACTCAGACGATCTGGGTTCTAGTCACTGCTCAGCCATGGAGCCAACTGGGTGACTTTGTTGTCACCCACTCTCAGCATAACCTACCTCACAGGGTTGTTGTTGTGAAGATAAGATTGAGAGGAAGAGGAGAATTATGTAAGCCACCTTGAGTTCCTTGAAGGCAGAAAGTGGGATACACGCATACACACACCCTCTGGTTATTATATGGCTGGCAGATGGAACAGACACGTTCAGATGTTTTCACACTTATAACAGACACACAACAGGGACTTTTATCTATTTGTGCTCATCTATTAGAAATACAGATTAAATGAATCAGGAAGTAACCCTACCTCCAAGTGGATTCCTTAATGGGAAGCTATTGTTGCCTATTGTGACTCTTTTCATAAGTATCATATCCTATTGTTGTTGTATACACTGTTGTTTGTTTGCAACCTGCACTGAGCTTATCCATTCTAAGGCAAGCCATGCATTTATAAACAAGTAAACAAATGCGTACCATTAAAAAGAAGAGGAGACTGTAACTTCATAAGGGCGACATCATTATTTTTAGTAGCTGGATCATAGTTTGGATGAGAAATTATTCTGGCTACACTGTGTCCCTTTGAAGAAATCATTTCCGGCTGTGTCAGAATTCCAGCATAAACCTTCCAGTAGTGTGCCTGAGAATATGCCCTGCAGAACAGAACGGAAGAGGAGTAGCCCTTTGTTCAGAACAACTTTTGTTACCGCAGAATCAACAGGATCTGTTATAGACAAGATCTATTATCAAGAAAGCAGCTAACTTGAACCCTGTACAGGTAGCAGAGGAAGTACATGCAAACAAACCTTCTGGGATAGTGGCTGTATTTGTTAGGATTCCCCAAAAACAAGCAGCAGCAACATGGAAGGGAAGGGAAGGGAAGGGAAGGGAAGGGAAGGGAAGGGAAGGGAAGGGAAGGGAAGGGAAGGGAAGGGAGAACATTTGACCAAACGATGAAGAATTCTATATGATGCACCAGTCAGTTATGATCCTGTCATTCTTCACACTATATCAGTAAAACAAAAACTAAGCAAACCATGCATACTATGTAAATCTCCTTCTGTCAAAACCAGGGGTAGCCAACCGTTTGGAGCTGTGGACATAGTACTTCCTAGTTATATTTCTACACTGCCCAATAGCTGAAGCGCTCTGGACAGTTCACAACAGTTGGCAATGTGGTAAAAATATCTTGAATACTGCCACAAAATGGCTGCCATGGGAAGCATAGCAAAGGACAGATAACCCAGTAAATGGTAGAGTGAGGTCCCAGCACCAAGAGAAACCTCTTTCAAGGCAATCCCAGCTGTCAGTAAGAGTGGCAAGGCGAGGCCAGGCCAGGCCAGGCATCTGGGGGCCCTATCTTGCCCACCACTGGTCAAATATGAAGAGCATAATGGTAGCTAATGCCATCACTCAGAGTCAGTACAGCATCCCAAAAGTTAGTTTTTTGTAGAAAACTAATGAAATATTAGGAAGACATCTTGACAGTAACTGCTCAGGACTTACCCTTCCACACAGTGAGCTGCTGTTACAATCCATTCAGGAGTGATAATGGACCCTCCGCATAGGTGGGTGCTTTTGATATGAAGGCTGACTTGCCATGGCCAGTCTCCTAAAAAGGTGATATTTCCACCCACAATCCTGTTCCGAGCCTTCCGTTTACTCGACCTGCCACAGTCTTACAAAACATGATTAAGGAAATTATTAACAATTAAGCCAGAAGACATTTTAACCAGTCATTTCTGTTACTAACTTCTGAAAAAAAATGTTAACAATATTTGCATCCTGCCTTTCCTTTTAGGAGCTATGGGCAGCATATGCTACATGATATGGGAGAGAATTATGTAAGCTGCCTTGAATTCTTTGAAAGAAAAAAATACAGGCTTTATTAATATAATAAATAAATATGCAAATCAAAGCCACACAGCTCCTAGTCAACTTCAGTGCAGTCACATTTGATCTCAGTGTATTAGAAAAGTGGGTCATCTCATTTAAGGAGAGTTTACCAGAAGAGAAGACATTCATTTTCATGCAAGGTAATCATTATTTTATATTGTGACTATAGGAATGGAGTCCAGAATCTCCAAATGAATGAGGCTAAAAGTAGCTGGCTATTTTCCTGTATTCAAATTGCAGGGCACCAATTTACACCAGCCCACTCAGATGACTGTTCATTATGTGAGAACAGGAGTATAGTATCACAACACTTACTTATGCATCGCAGAGATACCGCACTTCCTGATGGACATGAGTAGCTGAAACACAAAGAGGCACAATGAGGCTTTATGGAATGCGCTTTCATGTGAACACTCAGCAGAGTGGAAACCACTGCAGCAGCGTACAGTCCTGTGTTACAAAAGCATCTGAGTAAGGATCTGGCAGGCCCTTCCCACCAATTGGAAATTTTGCAATTCCCTAACAGAGTACCAATGGCCCACTCATGGGATGGCATGATTCTCATGCCCATCCCTGCAATGTGGAATCAAATCATGCGGAAGGTCTCCCACATTACTATGCTCAAGTGTAAAAAGGGACATTCGTCACCTGCAGAAGAACGTATCTCCCTCTCACTCAGGAGTTCTAGAGCTCCTTATTCTGGATATCTGTTCTCCAATATCCTTCCAGAACAGTCAGTATTGTGTGGGCTTTATGATGGGAATCTAAAGCTTTTCCTCCACTACTGAACATTAACAAAAGAAGGGCTGTTAATTATTCCTACAGTCACTGGGTATAGATCAAGTACTTAGAAAATGTGCCATGCCTTGGAGAACAATCCCTGGCTACAACACGGAGCTGTTGCAGATTTGTTTCCTTCATTCCAAGAGCCACATTTTAAACTAGGCTGCACAAGGAGCTGTATTTGAGCTTGACCTATGCTGAAGTTCCACTGGAGACATATTGGACCACCTTCCTGAACTAGAGACATTTGTTTCCATGGGCACAAAACAGAATTCCACAGAAGCATAAACATGTAATGTCCTAAAAATCTATTCTAATGGAATTATATTTAGTTACCTTAAGTAAAGGCTAAAAAACCCCTTTTAAGGAAGAGGAAGAGTAGCAGCATTATCAATCATTAACTTGCTGCTATTTGAGTTAGCCTTATGCCTTATAATGGTTTTTGGAGCCAAACACCATGAAAGTAGACAAAAAGTAGAGATGAGTCACCTGTTGTATAATTTCTTATACAAGTCTATATCCCCTGCACTTGTATTCAGCCTCATAACGTTCCTAGATCCAGCCATGAGTGGCACCTCCAGGCTGTCAACATACGTGTTCCTGCCAGAGATGAAAATGAACAGTTGAACACATGGAGCCAAATTGCAGCAGAACAAAACAAACATCCCCCTCCCCACAGTGTTTTAGCCAGAAAATAGATTTATAAAACCACCATTTACCTCCTTCTCAACTTTAGTGACTACTAAGCAGCATCTTCTGTGCAAGACGATGTATTGCATCATTATTTTCAAAGGGAAAGTCCTATAATCTGTTGCAGCAAAAAGTCCTGCAACATCTTAAAGACTAACCTATGTATTATGCTATAACCTTTCAGTTAATAAGAGTGTCCACAAAAGTTTATGCCATATTAATATGTTAGCCCTTAAAGTGCTACAATATTCCCTGTATTTTTGCATTATCATGGAAGCCACAGCCTTTGAAAAAGTGCTATATACAAGTGCTGTATCATTCTCTATTTCCAGCATTTGGATTTAACATCATAAAACAAAATCAACAATTTTGTACTTCACTCAATTCTGTTCCATGATGCAATTTTGCACTACACTGGTGACAGATTATCTGGCCAACACATTAGTAAGTTGCAACACTAGATAATGTTCATAATCTTTGGCTTAGATTTGTTAATAGAACAGCGCATTTTATTCAAATGCTGCATTTAAGATATTCCTGTCTTTCAGTCTCAACAGAACATTAGGGATGACATAGTTGCTAAAATCATCCTTACTATCCTGATGCACAAATTTTCAGATGCTTAAGGTTTCATCTGCACTCAAGTATGATACCTCTTCATTTCATTTCTTGGAAAAAGTTCCACTTTTTTCTCTAAACAATGCAATGTGTTATGGAGGAGTTAAACAGATGCCTTTCATGGTATCTTAATTTTTAAACTGCTTAATTAAGCCACTTTTAGCAATAGATGCATCCCACAACATATTCCCTACTGAGAGATACTGGCAAATATATTAACAAGTCACCCTGAGTAAATTATTGTAAAAGAATGAAAAAAAATCAACTTATGCTACTGTACAGGCAGTATTCAATCAAGGCCCAATGAAGCAAAAGAATGCTATTTTGAAGTGAAAATAGCATTAAACTATGAAGTACTGTACTTACGAGTTATATCCCATGTCTTCACAGGCGGTTTTCCCATGTTTATCATTCCAATTATCATAGCATACTGGGTACCAATCCTTGCTTTTATATGAATAGACTTCCAGGAGAAATTCTGGTCCATAAAGTCTAACTACAATAACAGAAATGACATTGAAGAAATGTCAATAACAGAAATGACAATGTATCAATGACATTGAAGTTTTCTGTCTATGACTTTTATAAGAGCACACAGCAGTTTTCAGGCATGTTTCAAATGTTAAGAAGCTTGCATCCGCCTGTAAAATCCACCCTCTTGCATTTCATAGCTTCTTCTTCAGAAAGGAGGAAGTTGATGGAACTTCCTTGTTCATCTTTGCAAAAATGAAGCCAAGTGCTGCCAGAGAACAGGAGGGAAAATACCAAGACACTGTTGACAGTACTGGGGACATCACAAAGGTCTCTCTGTGGATGCCTGTAACTACACCGAGATTTGGTTGGGTGTTTGGATGAACCCCATCAGATTCAGATCTCCAGGCATTTCCGGGCTTCCTCTTGTGCTCAGCCCAGCCTTCCAAAGTGAGCTGAGCAGAGAGGAAGTCTGCAAACACCTGACTGTGCAACTGGTTGCCTTCTTTGGCATCAGGTGAACAGTGGCTGCATTTGCTGTGGGAGAGATGCTGCTAGTGGTTGGGTGGGTGGGCCCCTTCTGACCAGCCTTCTTCAGCACTGGGGGCATTCAGCCAAATGGCAGCAGCACCTGATGCCGGAGAGGAGCACTGCTTGCGCAGCAGTTGCATGAGGCTTCATCCCCGGTGAGTGCCCTGTAAATGCTGGGAGCACTCACCAAAAACTCAGGTTCAGGGCTGTTGCAAAGTGGACCAGAGTCCCGTCAGCTGAGCCCAGGGAATCCAATGGATTCCCACCCCAACCAAATTCCTTGCACAACCCTAGTTACACTGAATCTTTTAGCCCTTATGGTATCGAAGGCTTAACTGCTGCTGCAATGGATCACAGTCATACCATTGTCCAGAATTTCTGCAATTGTCTGAAACTAAAAACAAACAAAGAAAGGGTTTCTCCTAGCAGTAAAGCAGCATTCTAATCCCTGCCACTAGGGCATGGCTTTGCAGTGTTTGCCCCTTACCAAGTAAATCCTGCACCCAGGAGCACAAGGAGCAGACCAACAAGGTCTTAACATTCCATGCATTCTGGCATATTCCTATCACTGCTTCGCAGCAGGGGACAAGCAGCAGGGTTGTGAAATCAGGGGCTGAAAAGTTGGACAGGCTCCAGTGCACAGAATCTTTCAAGATTCCAGCAGCTACAGTAGAGGATTCTACTGTATATTAAATAAAGTAATGATCAGCTACACTTAAGGTGGTGGTGGAAGTGGGAGAAATGGAGGCAATCTTCCCATGTAGATAAATAATCATTGAATATACTGACCACAACGAGTTTCATCTTCACCATTAGGGCAATCACTAACTCCATCACACCACTGAGATGGCGTCACACATATTCCTGTAGTACCGCATGGTATCTTGGAGCCAAAGCAAGTGTTTATTACTGCAAAGACATACAGATATATGGGAATCCAGTGAGATTATCCAATGGAAACTACTAGACTGTATTAAAAGACAGAGTAATTCTAGGCAGGTCAAAATCATGCTTAATGCTTTATCTTCAGTGCCATCATATAAACAGTGAGAAAAACATACTCATTAAGATTTCCAGTACAGTCGCCTCCCCTGGGTTTTAAGTCATTTCTTAAAGCAACAGGATTAGAAAGGTAATAATAAAACAATATACATAGTTTTATAATAAAAACCATTAGTTTAATTAATGAAGTCATAATGTATTAAAATATAAGTGATCGCACATATTGATAATATCAGTCAAGGAATGTTTCAAAGCATAGCATAGGAAAAGTGGTTATCAAACCAACCTTTATTATACTGATAGAGAACTCTGAGAACTGTAGATCTCTATGTAACTAGACCAACAGAATCCTCACACAGGGGAGATATCAGTATGTTTGGGGGAACACATAAGTATAACAAAGGGGGACCTAAGATGGGTGGAGGGGAACCAAACATCCCAATGAGGATGGAGCGTAAACAGTACATACAGAATGATGACTGCTTGTTGGCAGGGGGAAAATGGAGAATGAGTATGCTGAAAAAAAATTGTTACAAACTCCACTTATTTATTAACTAACAGGCTCAAGGGCAGCTGTGAAGTGAGCCAATATAGCCTAAACTCTACAAAGCTTACTCAAGGATGTAGTTCTCTGAAGGCAATTTTTGTTACGAAGGCAAATGGTAAGTCCTTTTAAAATAAAAGCTCAATATTTTAAACTCAACATTAATTGCAAGATCAATTCCATGGAGAAAGCTAGCAGGATGTTAAAGTTCAATAAGCTAAACTTGACCAACTGCTTATCAGAGACCTAAACCCTTCAGTAGAAATAGTCTGTTTGCTGTAATTTGATCAAATATCTTTTTTTACAGGATTTAATATTCTCTTTGAAGGGCTAGCCTATCCAAATCCAGTTTAAAGGTTATGAACTATAAAAACTGTTGCCCATTAACCCTTAGAGAGTGCTCATAAAGTAGTCTGAATGGGTAAGCCACACAGGTAATGGTGTGATCTGCTGTATTTGTATTTAAATTATAATTATGTTTAAATGTGCACATACACATATAGTGTATGCAATTAAATAGCTTTTCCTCTTTTTTGGCAATTCATAAGTTGCTCTCATAACTTGCTTAGGCACTTGCGTGTAGCATTCCCTTTATCAGTTAGAACCTGTCACAGAGCAGAAGTCTCTCAAATATTGCCCCCATTCCCTTTTTATACTGTTGGATAAGCCTAATTAAGAAGTGAGGATAATCTGTAATCAGTTAAAGGAAATTATGTAAAACATATGCTGATCTATAATACCAGATCTGTTTATGCTATAAAACCAATGAGTAATGAAACTACCTAAAGATAATAACCTACAGATTTCAAAGAACAAAAAAATGCAGTGAAAACCAATGGAAAGGCAACTGTAGGGAGAAAGTAGGAATCAGACTGCCTTTCATTAATTTCCACAGGTCTACTGAAATGAGAAAGTTTTGACTGTCCCTAGAAAGAGAACAGAAAGGGGAAAACGAAATTCTGAGTACCAGGACTGCCACTGCAAAGGCTATGCTCCCAGTGGAAGTCAACCAACCTCCACATGAGATAGAATTCCATCCCGGTAGACTCATAAAGAAGGTGATGTTCCATAAATGAGCTTTACAGGCAAGAGCTAGTACTCTGTGTTCTGCCAAAAACAAACTGATAGCCTATAAAATTTGTGCCAGATACTCTGGTAGGTTTTTTTTAGTTTTTAAAAAAGATATTGTATGTGCTTGAAGGTTGAGATAATCCATAGCCACATTTTGTCTATATTGACCACAAATGCAAGGACTAATGTATGATACTAGCAAACTACTTTCCCCAACTTGCTGTTGTGGTACCATTAAATTTAAGCTTTTTATAATCTCAATCTTCTAAGATGTCAGAAGACAGGAAGTTATGGCATCACAGACTAAATGTCATGAGCATAATTTAAGAATTTAAAGCAGATAATTTAAGAATGTCGCAGTTTGTTGGCAGAAAAGCACCATTCAATTTTCCAAGGCAAAGAAAAAATGTTGCACAATCATTGACTAAAACATCTGTTGGCACAAGTGCATCCTTACCAAAGTACCAGATAAGAACACAGGCGGTTCCAGCTCCTATTAGTATTATTATAATCGACATAAGGAAACAGAAAGCTTTGGTGATTCCTGCAATTATAAAGAGGAAAAAGGTACACATGAAAATATTGTTACACTAAGAAGTCTATGTATGAGTATATATCAGTTTAAAGTAAAGTGAATGCAAAAGATCACCACAGGATTATAAACTTCTTAATTCCCTTGGGTCAATCAAACATAAAACTAACCCCAGCCATACCTTATATTTCTAGTTATCCTCCTTTGAAAAAGCTTCATTACAAGCTTCCACAAGTTTGTTTGCCACACTAGCACAAGAATTCTGCCACCTTCTGGTGAGGATGCCAAGCCACACCTTCTTCACAATCTGCAGAGGTGTATGGGAACTGTCTTAGTTGTTCTAGATTCATAGAATCATAGAATGGTAGACTTGGAAGGGGCCAGTAGGACCATCAGGTCCAACCACCTGCTCAATGCAAGACTCTAAATTAAATTTGCATGTTCCCTGTGCAAAATGGTCCTGTTGCCACAGCTACACAAAAAGAAGCAAACTGTAAAGCAGAGCACCCATGCTCAAGTCCATGCAAGAAACAGTACTCACACATTCTCTTCTCTTGAGAGCGCCTCTGGATAGAGGGAATCGGTGTGGACACCCAAGCAGATACATTCCTTTCCCCATTCACGTGCTGCAATGGGATGCAGCCATACAAAGGATTCTTACAGATTAGTGCAAAGAAGGTTTTTAAAAACTCCTTCAGAATAGATCTGAGTGCAGAAAATCTGGATTTGTATAAATCAGAAGGAAATCTTACTTGGTGTGCATAAGTAAGGTGACTTTGGCTGCACTGTCATTGGCACTGGATTTGACTGCTGAGTAGAAACCCTTCGGCTATAACGTGGCACTGATGGAGGATAATATGAAGATGAGTAATGTGGAGGCAAGTTATGGCCACTGATGTACCTTGGAGGAACAGCATGTTCTGGCTGATAGGCATAATTTTCATAATATGGAGGAGGCCTCTAAAAAGCAAACACAAAAAATGGATGAAAAGGCATTAGTACAAAGGAGAACAGTCATCACAGGTAACAGGTTGAGAAAGCAGGAGCCCAATATCTATTACTCTGTAGTAGACCAAGAGTGAAGGTGATTCTGAGAGTCACTGTGAAAAGCACATGGTGTGACAGTTAAAGTAGTGGATGGGGAACTTCAGAGTTCCAAGTTCTAGATCCACTCAGCCATGACGCTTGTCAGCCAAACCTCCCTCACAGCGTTGATGGATAAAGTGCAGTGGAGGAAGATGATATAAACCACCTGGAGCTCCTCGTAGGAGGAGAAGAGGTGGAACAATAACACCAGGGCAATGCTACTACTATCAATGCACTAGGAATGCAGCATTTCGGAAGTATATAAGGTCATGATAACATATGACAGAACAACTTTGTTCAAAGACTTGAATTCAACTCATGTTCAGTGTTGAAACCAATGATTTAACTAGGTATTGCTCTTTTCAAAAGCACATTTGTAGAACTAATTTGAGAAGAATAACTACTAGATCTTAAAAATTTTGTTGTGGGTGCTGCTAAATGCATAACCAAATGATCTGCATATTGTCATTGTAATACCAAGCAATGACTCATGAAAGCAGCAGAGTTTTGTACTTTTCTTCTGCACTGTGTTGTTGGGGTTGCAACTCTACATTGCTACTTTCTATCAGCAGTTTTGCCTCTGAGATTAAACATGAAGAGGCAGTTTTCACAAATTCACACACTTGGGCCACAATCCTATGCCCTTTATCCATCTTCCCAAAGACTGAACTCAGCAGGACTTGTTTCTAAGTAGACACACTTATTATGATCGTACTGCAGAGCACTCAAGAGTGAGTGTAGCCTGGCAGCAGGCAGAGCTGACATTGCAGGCCTTCCCTTCTTCAGGTCAATCATGCCTTGGACCTGCAGAGACGGGTGAAAATCATCTGCACATCCTCCCACCCTCTTTCCAGCTCCAAGATGGAGACGAAGGTTGGAGGCTACAGTGTCTCAGCTGCACTGGACCAAACTGGGACAACTTGCTCCAGGTTTCTTGCAGAAAAGTCTGATGAGCTGCTGGCGTGCAGGGCCAACCCAACTTCAGAAATCTGTTCAAAAGACCAAAAGGAAAGTCTCCCTTCCATGTCAATCTGGCAAAGCTCTGTATGAGTCACAGTTATGCAACCACACTTCTTGACTTCATTGGCAGCAAGGTCAACCAAAATTTCTGGGCCACTGCCTGCTCTCCAGGACAGCTCGCTACTTCAAGTGGAGGCACACAAGCAACTGCTTGCACCACAGCAGTTCAAGCAGTTATTTGACAAGTATGTATGAAATACAGAATTTCCACTTTGTTTATCTGATTATCCATAATGTGTGTGTGGGGGGTGTCTCAATAGTATATCTAAAACCTTTTAATAAGATTATTCCCCCTTGCCTGGGAACATGCTTACAAAGAACACAAAATGGCATGAAATAGATATACTTACTGAATCAGATTCCATCTTTATTTTCACCAATATCCCTTTGGCACGTTTGTAATAAACCTATGGATAGACAAGATGCATTTTTAATTACAAAAGGTAAAGTTGCAATTTTTGATAACTCATTTCTAGAAGAGCATTTTTTTTCAGATACAAACAGAAAGAGGGGGAAAAAAAATCAAATGACATCATGGTTTATTATGGTAGGTGGTTTGCTGTGTCATGTGGACACATCAGAGGTCACCCAGGATGGATTGTTTTTTCCAAGCGTCCCGTCCTAAAAAAACTATGGCTATTCAAGGGTTGCTGCCACTCAGGGCTTCCACAACCAGCAACCACTTGGCAAGGGTGGCAAAATGCCCTTGCTAGACTTGACTGCAGCTGCCATATGCGTGCCATTGACAACAGCCCCCAAGTTCGCAAGCTGCTGCTGCTGTCAAGGCTTTGCTTATCTCCTATTGAGGACTTTTTGAGAAGTTTGCAAGTAATGCAACACAGGGTGTACATTTGTTTACAGCTTTTGCAAGCAGCCTTGTAACTAAGTTCTCAGAGTGGCTCACAAGAAGAAACAATGTAAAAATATAGCAACTGTAACAACAACAGAAGTATAAATTCAGTGTCAAAACAATCAGAAAAATTAAACAGTGAAGACTGATTGAAACCTCTGAGCAAATCCAGGGTCCTCATCTGGCAACAAAATGAAACCGAAGGACGCGCAAGGTGAGCCTCTCTGGGGATATCCCTTCAGGAAAGAAGTTCCCTCAGTAAGCCGGGAAACAATTATGTCACTGAGTAGGAGGGACTGGTCCTCATCAGAAAGGCTCTGACCATTCCTTCTCCCTCTCATTCCATCCACCTAGCTGCTGCAGAACTCAGCCACAGAGCCCACTGGATTCTGGCTCCACAGCAAAATACCAAAATACCGTCTGTGCCCAGACGGCGTCTTCTTCCACTGGGGGAAGCAGGGTGGCATTTGGCAGTTTCTCTCGTTCCTTTTATCTTCAGAGGCTCAAGGTCTTCCTAACAGAGTTGCCTCTGATGTGAGGTGTTGTTCAGGAACAAAGGAAACGATGTGGATGGTGCCAGCATTAGCCTAGGAAGAACCACCAGGAAGGCCACCACTGCCTTTGCTCTTTGTTGCTTGGCAGATGTCCTGTTGACCCCTTGCTGGTCTGCAAGCCATTGCAGTTGTCATCCCATGGTAACCACTGATACCACCAGGGCTGGTTCTACCCACATAGGCTGATGAGTCCATGACAAATGCCAGGGTGAGAAGACAGGCAAACTGCACTGCTTTCTGCCCACTTCAGCCAAGGACCACTGTGGCACTTCTATGGGAGATCAAGCAATTCTCATGATAGTTTGGCTGACTGCTCCCAAGGGTCCACCAAGAGGGGACAGGGTAGGAGTGGGCAAGTAAGGGACCAGAGGCCAGGAAAGCAGTGCGGGACATGAGCAGGGGAAGAAGAGACTGGGTGAATAGAATAAGCCACCCATCTATTACAACACACCGTGCGGCTGGCTCCCCCAGCAAAGGATGCGCCGCCATGCTTGAGGTGACAGATCGTTTTGGACTGAACCTGGACACTGGTCCTGGTTGACTGCCTTTTAAAATAAAGCCAAAGCAACTGTCTAAATATAGATCATGGCTACTTAATAAGTCTTTTGGTCATGTCTTGCAGGCACATTATATTTGTTTGTTCAGACTAAGGTATCAAAAGGATGGGAGGGGGAGATAAACAGTGGAATTTAAGGCTCCTCCATGTTCAGTTTTTTACCTACTGGCACCATTCTATACCTATGTCATGTGAGTGAAACAGCAACACCTTGGGTGAGTAACACTGCATAAAAGAAGTTTATTCTGTTTTAAGGGTTGTTTTGAGAATGTAGACATAATTGATTTGCCCTAAATACTAGATGCTTAGTCATGTTTCCGCATGCGTTTTCAATTGTTAAACAAGAGAATTCCCCTTCACATCTTGCATACCAGGTTGAAACTTGTGAATAAAACAGAAGATAATACCTTGATACCTCTAAATAATGCTCACAGGACTGGAATTTCAGTGCAAAATTTCCAAAATGTCTAAATCCCATTTTAAAAAGAATAGTAGCAGCATTTTTTTTTTGGTTTCTCTGAATCTGGGCTGATGCTTTGGTCTTTATCTGTGACATAACGAGCCATGCAACTGTGCTTACAATTTTTATTAGCATTCACATGTTTCTCATTGGCTACTGTATGACTTAGGAAGATGTATACCTTAGAGTGCGCAGTCTGCAGTGGAACTAATAACATTGCACCGCTGAAAAATACCAGATGACTGCTTTAGTGATATGGCATTAACTCTATTAAAAGCATACATAAAGAAAAGTATAAAAGCCAAAATTGCAAAAATGCATGCATTTCCACACTCAGCAACCATATCTGTGATGATGTCAAGTTATCTCAGGTGGTTAAAGCAAAAAGGGATTGTGAAGAATTCTGCCGGAATCTCTGGTAATGAAGAGAATGGGAAGCAAAGTGGAAAATGCAGTTCAGTGAAAGTAAGTATAATGTGAAGCTGATGGAGACTAACTCGCAAGTCCACATATCCACCAGTTGAACCTAAGCTAGAGCTGACCGACCAAGAAAAAGATTGTGGGGCAGTGGTTAGACAGCATGATAAAGATTTGAGTTTAATTTCTAGGTTAGGGTTGTTGCATGTTTCATGTTTACATATGTCTCACGTTTATGTATACCATATACACCATATCTTATATTTACACAATATGGTTTTGATTGTTGTGAACTGCCAGAGAGCTTCAGCTATTGGGTGTTTCAATATTCTCATCTAATCTAATCTAATCTAATGAACTAAAGCACATTGTTTAGCTGTTCTGAAAAAAATGGAAGCATTGGTAAGGTTTTTTGCAGTACGCTTGAGGATAAGCCATGTATTAGAAGAAAATGTGTTGGGTCCAAAGTAAGTTTTTCCAGACGAAAATAGTAACTTTGGGAAGCATTGGTAAGATTTTTGACTATGGTGAGACAACTCCAGATGAGCAGAACTGGTCCAGAATGCTTTAAATAATTCATTTGACTGGAGAAACTTTTAGTAGCATTTAGCATATATATCAGACCTAATATACTGGTCCCAATTTAAAACCACCATTTAAATTTTGAATTTTAGCACCAAAAATAACCATAAAGCAACCTTAGGTTCTATCTTAGTTAAAAGTGTTATAACGGTTGTTATAAATTCATGGTAGAGTACCACTTTGCATGCAAAATTTTCCCAGTTTGATCCCTGGCACCTCCAGGCATGGCTGGGAAGGGTTCTGCCGGAAACCTCGGAGGACCGCTGCAAGGTAGATAAACTGATGGTCCAATTCACTGTAAGTGAAACTCCTATATTATACATTTCCTTTTGTCCTGTGCCTTTTGCTGGGTGGGAAGCATGCTGTTCATCAACCAGATTTGCTGAAGAAATCTTTCTAGCTGGAAGTTGCAAAAGGGTTGCTTGTTTTGAAAGTAGTACTATTTTTACAAATATGCAATTCTACTTCTTGAGATGTCTGTCCTTGCATCTTGACACCAGTATTTTACCCAGTACTTTGAAATCACATACTCAAGGATGATTCTATGACTTGTGGAACTCAAAGGCTAATCAGACTATGATGAGCTCATTAACATTCATTTTGCATGTACTGCCCTTCTAACCTGTTCTTAGTAACGGTTATCTTGGCATGGCAAATCATTAGAGCTGAAATCACTTCAGAGGTAGAGAGGAAACATTCTTTAGCACTCTCTCAGAAAATCAGATATGCTTCCTGCTAAGCCAGGCTGAATGTGTCACCTTACAGACAAAGGGGGGAAAGGAAATAAGGGTGCTTACTCAGATGGGCATCAAAATGCTGTAATTCACTACACTGATGTTCTTCACATTACAGTATCATATGAAAACAGGTGAGCTTTTTCAGAAATGATACTCAAGAAAGAGCAACTCGAAGGGGAATTTTCTGGCGGACATGGGTGTATTTATGTGTATATGACTGCAAGCACACAGATGCTTGGGTAAATAGGAGTGGCTTTTATTTTGCACTCCTCAGAATGAGTAACATTGAATGGTAAAAAGTGTCCTTGTTGAGGACTGAAGGAAATTTATTTAGGAAGATTACGACTTTAAACCAGCTGGAAATGAGCCATTTTTGAAAAATAAGTAGGTGCTACAGAAAAGGACTTTTTTCAACATTATGCCATCTGTTCAATGTACTGAATCCGTTTGGTCAGAACACTGCATGTTGAAATAAAGGAAAAGATACATTTAATGATAAAATGGAATTTAAATCATACTAAAAGTCTTAATTTTTATTTGTTTAAACTGAAGTTTTTAAAATAAGGCCCAAAAGTACCAAACTGCATGGGGAATTTAAAACACAAATATGAAATGTTGATTATGCCACATGGATAAAGGGGGACAGTTACCTGCACTGGAAATGTTTAGGAAGACACAAAATATGGTACATGATAGCTACATTATAGTTAAATCTGCTGGTGTTAATTATATAATGCAATATGTATGGAAAATGCCAAACTTCTTTTAAACTCATCAGTGACCATATCAAAACCTAGTTTAATTTTTAGCATATCAAGAGGTCCAGGACTGAGTTAAAATATTAAAGCAAATGGTTCATATTGTTCTTATGCTATATATTAAATTGAAAATACTCCAGATTACATGATATAGTTAAAGAATATCAGATTCGTTACATAGTTAAGTTCCTTTGACATACAATTCCTTCTTAAAACATGTTTTAGAAACACTCTAAATTGATACATTATTCGTATGTGTTCACATATAATGCATACAAACACCCTTTTAATGTTGCTAAAATAAAAATACAAATATCTTCATATATTAGAGAGCAAAGAAACTGCTTAGCTTTTCTTTGTTGTCAAAATGTCTTAAGAAAACAGCACCATATTCTCCAGAATAAAGATATACAGTTCTGTGCAAGTTAACTACATTTTCTCAACAGAAATCCTATTGATTCTATTGTCGGGCTGTTTCTCTACCTTATTTACTAATCTTGGAGATACCTCTTTATCAGGAAGCATGTTTTATTAATGAAATACCAGAAGACACACAAGCAGCAAACAGAATTTACATTCAGTTGAATACACTATTTTGTTACATTTGCTATCAACACCTTGGCTTTCAGAATGGCTCCTTCATATTTCCCAGGTGTTCTTTTTTTAGCAATGAAGAAAACTACAAGTTTTCATGGTACACCACTTAACTGCAACATGCCAAAAAATGGAAACCACTGAATATGAATTACTGTCACCAACCTCATGACCCTCACTTAGTCCCGTATCTTGTAGATCCATCTAAGATACTGAATCTTTGAACTATCCATACAATTGTTAATTTATTAACATGCTTTTTCATTTTCTTGGTTACTATGCCTAGGAGATTCAAATATACATCAAGGACCATTTTAAAATGTTATTATTACAACTTAGCCATGCTGACACCCTCCCTCAGAACTATTTTCCACGAATTAGATTCAGTGTTTTCTTCCTCAGATCACAATATGGACACTTAGAAAAGGTAGAGGTAAGTGAAAGGTTCTCCCTTTTTCTCCCATCCCCACTGTTCTGGATGATCCTCTGACTCTCCATCCAAGGTTTAGTGGAGGCATATGGTGATTAGCAAGATAATTCATACCTCATGCCATGAGTAGAAATGCTAGATGGCTCAGGAGCCTTCTGAGGAGAGAAGAACCCCTTTTGTCTGCAAAAGATTCTAGATTTTGAGTATTTTTCATCTTGATTATCAAAGCTCTTAACCCTCATGGGATTCAAATAGAGGGCAAACGGGCAAGTCCTCAAACATTCTAAAAATGGCCAAGTTCCATGCAGAGCTGTACCACATTCTCTGTCAAAAACTTAGTTGATTCTAGCATCCTTTTTGTTTGTAAATTAAGCATACATGTACCTTTTCTTAATCAAATCCAAGAATTCTTAAAATTAATATGACATGTAATACGATATACAAGTTACATTTATATCTGTGTTTAAACCCAACTTTCTTTATTGCCTGTAGGCCACAGCTCAAAGCCAGCATTTTAAATGAAGGCTAGTAAACTTTGCCCCACTGACGTCAATACAGCCAAATCCATTTAAATGCAAAAATGCTGGCTTGGGTAGTTTATGGAATGTAACCTGAATCACTTACTGGAAAGTAGGGTCATATCTGACCAGAACATGTAAGATGTTAGTTTCTGCCAGGGTGAAAAAAACTAAATATGATCTAATCTACAAGGAAGGAATAAAGGTGATAAGTAAAATAAAAGGCTAATTCTACTGGGACCATGTCATTTTTGCCTAGCCATTAACTACTGAACAAAAAACCCAAACACTTTCAAAACTCAATGTACTAACTGAGCTTGGGAGCTCAAAACTATTAACTGAGCATTATATTTCATACATATGAAGTATCAGGAGTGCTTTTACAGCCCCAGTTCCTTCCTAAATTAGTATGCAACCTCACATGAAGGTATGGTTGCAGAATGCCATTTATTTCAAGCACTATTCCCAGACAATGAAAGATCAAGCAGATCTGTTTTCCATCAACCTGAACAGCCTCCACTGCTCCTGGCTTGCTCTGTATTTACTGCTACTTGTGTGCTTGGTGCGACTGCTATACAAAATAACTCTATAATAGCTCATCCATCTGAGTTCATTGAGACAGCTCTGTTCTCACTGCTTTCAAGAAGGAATAAGGTTTGGTCCCAGTAAATTGTCTCAATGGAAAAGTGCCTAGGAACCATGTGGAAGATGCTCAAGGTTCTTCACAGTGGCTAGAAATGAAGTTATAAGGAATCTGGCTTGGTGGTTTACATTCCAAGTTTTAAACCCTGCTTCATCACAGCTTTACATTCAATTTGGTGATTGGGCTTTCCAGTAGATACAGAAAAGCAAACAGGGTAACACTAGACCAGCATGGGGGGCATTGATGAGAATGTCTGACTAGAGTCCATGCAGGCCAGGTTCAAATCCCCACTTAATCACAGAAGCCCACTGGGGCACTCATGGCTTCCCAATCTCACATGGTTTTTGTGCAGATACACTGCATGGAAGAGAACTATTGTGCTATCCTGAGTTCCTAGAAGGAACAGTGGGATCAAAATGGAAAACTAGTACTGGCCTAGAGGAAAACCTGATGAACGGCAGACAATTTAGGAAGCTCCTGTCTATGCAGACACCAACAGTCCAAACAAATACCTTCTGTGTCCATCATATGCATGCTGTCACATTTGGGGAGATGAATGTCACTGCCAAAACTCTTGCCATTCAAACCAAAGTCATATTAATCCAGTACAATAATGGGGCCTATTACCTGGGGAAGTGGGCTTTCTCTTACTGGAGACATTGGAGAAGTGTCTAGAGAGTCATCTGAGTAGCATGATGTAACTGGGTGTCCTGCAATAGCAGGGGGTTGGACCCCATGGCCTTCTGGCCCTTTCCAACTCTACTATTCCATGATTTTATTATTATAATAGGCAATCAGCAACTGGTTGGTCTAAAGTCCTTGGATGCAGTACTAAGACCGACCTATGCAGATCATATAGACATATCAAAATAAATTAACTTGGCCTAATTCAACAGGGAACGCGACGCAACCGTGCGACACATATTCTTCTGAAAAGCATTCTTCTTCTTTTCGTGACCATGCATTTGATGAACTTGCTCCCCTCGCTTTTCTTTAAACTACCGATACGGTCCTGGCTGGAAACCGTCGCAGGGGGTGCATCTAACGAGAAGGCCAGTTCGTGAGGCAAGCCTCTGAAAGAGCGGCTGTTCCCCAGCGCGGAAGAGCAACAGAGACGGCGCCCGAGGCGGCGCCCTGCGGGGTGAGCCCGTGAGCGCCCGAGACGCAGGCGAGCCTCTTCTCCCCGTTAGCAATCGGAGGCAGGGAAGGGAGAGGTGCCCAGCCGCCTGCCCCGAGCCCCACAGGAGCCGCCTTCAGAAGAGCCCACTCGCCGCCGCCCGCCCCTCCCAGCCGCCCCCCGGACGCCACCTCGCCCCCAGGACGCCACCTCGCCCCCGCAAGCTGCGCCGGAGCTCACCTGAGTGGGCGGCCGGGGCTGCGCCGGCGTCCCTCGCGCGCGTCTCGGGGCGCTTCTGCAGCCCAGCGGCGCAGGACGCACCGCTGCTTCTCCCGGTGCTTGCTCGCTCGCTCGCTCGCTCGCTCTCTCTCTCGCCCGGGGAGCTGCCCGAGCGCGCCCAGCACCGAGCGCCCTTGCCGGAGGTCAGCGACGGAGCGCACCCAGAGCGCGCCACCCGCGGGAAGGGCGAGCAAGGCCGGCCGGCCGGGCGCTGCAAGGAGAGGTGGGGCTGCCGGCGGCGGCGGTTTCCTACAGCCTGGCTGCCCTCCCCTTTTATCACTTCATCCCCGCGGGCGGGGCCAGGAGGCTCTGATTCACCTGCAGGAACCGAGGGGGGCGGGCCGGGCTTGGGCTTCGACGAGCGGCGCTGACGGCCCGGGTGCCGGTGGCGTTGCTCTCTGGGGAAGCTGCCGCTCGCTGCCCCACGGGCGGGGGCCGCTTACGGCTGCAGCCCGGTCCTCGCTGGCCTAGGGATAAAGCCCCCGGGGGAGGGCGCTGCAACAGTGGCTCGATCCACCACGGAGTGAGCCCCGCTGAACTCGGCGATCCTCACCCCCAGGAGACCGGTGGCGAGTCCTGAGGCCACAGGCTCAGTCGGAGCGCCTGGTGTTGTACCACAGCCTTTCCCAACCTGGTGCCCGCCAGATGCATTGGACTGCGACTCCCAGCATGCCCCAGGCGAGCATGCAACAGGCTGAAGTAGTCGCTGTGTTGGGGAGCGCTGCACCGGTTCCCTTACCTGCCTGTCATGAAGTTGATAAAGCCGCTAAAGTCTTCCCAGAAATAAAACAAAGCTTTGGCCCATTCACATGGCACCGTAAGGAGGAGTAAGCCACTCATTAGGGTGTAAACTACAGTGGCATTTCTTTCCATTCAAACATGCACAGGCTAGGCTGGTAATCGCAAACAATCCTCATACTGGTTTTGCTCTTCGTTTGAAGTAATGTTAAGAGAAAGAGCATGTCCAGAATACTTTACCCTCTTAACACCCCCCCCCCCCCCGAAATTAGGACAAGGGCTTCTAAGTCAAAAGCAATGGTTTCCACTCTTGCCACCTTGCATTTTATACTTAAGTGCTGGTGAAGTCACAAAGTATAACAGGAATGAAACCGAAGCCATAGAATCAATAGAGTTGATTCACTGGAGTCGTTGGAGTCCAAGAGTCATTGGAGGTTACCTTGTCCAGCCCTCTCCTGGATACGCAAGACAGTCGCAACTACAGCATCCCTGATGGATGGCAGTCCAGTTTCTGCTACCTTTAGGACGTGTTTTCAGAAGTTCTTTCATAACAGATAAATGTAAAGGCAATCAGCTGTTGTGAAATGCAAAAAGAATGCTTTTGAGCAATTGTCTGTATATTTTTTTGTTATACAGATTGCTGCTGCATTTACACAAAAGGGTAACCCATGGACCTATTTGCTAATCCTGATTTAGTATGAATTGTTTGCTGTTTCCACCCACATAACCAGGTAAAGAAACCAAGAAGCAATAACTGAATTTAACATCTGAACTCAGAATCCTGGTTTATTACTCTTCTTGTTGGGCTTATGAATCCTAGTCTATATAGGAACATTAGACTAGGATCTTGGGTTATAGTACATGACTATTGCCTCTGGTTTCTTTTTCTGGTGATGTGAGCATAGAAGGAGCAAACCAGGGTTAGTCAGGAATCCTGGCTTAAATGTATATTGAAGTATGCCGGGTGATTTCTGTAGAGCAACAAAAGCTGCTTCTCCCTCATCTCTACCATGGTCTGAACTCCTAAAGCATAAATCTCACTGCTTGAGAAAAAGAATGTTAGTGCCTTTAAAACACACACACACCTGCACACACAGAGTCAAGAAATTGGTGTTTGTTTAGTGCCTAAAGGAAAAAATGAAACTGTTTTTATTGATTGATTGATTGATTGATTTATATCCTGCCTTTTCCTACAAAGGGCTCAAGGCAGCTTACATCATTCTCTTGGCCATGAATGTGTCAATGTGAATAGACTTAAATTTCAGGGGTTATATTATAGCTTACATATTTAGATTTTCACATATTTTACAAGTTCAAAAAGTGGTACTGGTAGGTGTGGGGTTATTATATGTCTTGAAAACTATCCACTAAGTATATTTACTTTACTTAGGGATGCCTCAAGGAAGCTCAGAGTAGAGAGTGGGCCAGTCTCTTTCACTGCGGGTTGTGCAGTGGGAGTCGTCTTCAGGTTCTGAAGCAGAAAGGAGGCAGGAGCAAGGGGACTGAAGCCACTGAAGATCCTTCAAGGTTGCTTAGTGAGCCTATAAGTCAATCTGTTTTGGAAAAGAGGACAGTGTTTCCCGAAGGGGAGAGGAAGCAGATGCGAGATCCAGGCCTTGATCCAGTATGGAAGCCCCTTGGGAGAGACAATCTGCTCAGCTGGAGGGGCTTCATTGCTCTCACCATCTTGCTCTCCAACAGTAAGAGCCCCTTGAGGGTGGATCCAATGGCCTTACAGAAAGAGAGAACTTTGGGAAAGTTTCCAGATTTGATTCAACTCTCTCCATGAACAAAAGCTTCTTCCAGGATTGGTCAAAGGCCATTTGGAATTAAACTGTTGTGTCAACTGTGGAGTTTCAATAAAATTACATTTTGAACGATTGCCTTGCATTTTGGACAACACAACAGATGGACAGCCATAAAAAACCACCATGCCTTGTCATGTTGTTTTAATCCAGCTGCTGTATGTACAGTGCAATAGGATTGCACTGCACAAGCCTGACAATATATAGATTGCAGGAAAAATGGGTAAAAATGAATATTTCTGTTTTAATTAAATATTTTTAAAATAGCAACATTCCCTAATCCTATTTTACATTTCTGAGGCTTCTTTTTGTTTGTCCACAAATTATGAGCTGACAGAGGCTGACGCGATACAACTCACGTTAGGAAGAAAAGTGATGTGCAACCATCTTAGTATTGCTTCTCACATGGCTGGGTGTGGAAAAAGACGATAGCCTCATGTTCTTGTTTCCAAACAGGAACTGAAGGAAATGATGAGATCATCTTAAAAATACAAGTAAGTCAAGCAAAAATGTGCAGAAAGCAGATTTATGTTCAGTGTCATTCAGAAAATACTCGTGACTATTCAGATTCAAAGTAGTTTTTAAAAAATGCCCTGCCCTTGAACACTCCAATGCTATGTGAGTTAACGTAGGCTCTCCATTAAGTTCAATGGAAGTTCTTTTAAGTCAGGGGTTTTAGGAATTCAGGCTAAAATAGGGCAAGTACAATCACACCACCATTTTTTTAAATTGTGTTACTGTTTTTACTGTTTTATGCTGTACACTGTCCAAGGAGCCCTGGTGGGCTCGCATTCATAAATGTAAGAATAAATAAATAAATAAATAAATGGGTGTATGATCCAGTTATCACAAACTAGTGCCCTTGTCCTTAATACAACTTACAGCAATACTGTACATTTCCCATTATTGCCCAGTGAAGAACTCAGGAGAACAGAAAGTTTGCGCAGTATTTTGTTATCTTTGTAATTGGTGGTCTGTATATTGATAACATGGATTTACTATGTTACAGTGGAGATCAGCATTTGTGATGTTCTATTTATCAATAGAGTTCATGTAGGTAGCATCTTTTAGGACAACAAAGAGCCAGTGGTTTACAGAACCAAGGTTTACAAGGTCTTTTTTTTTTTAGTTAGGAGGGACACTGACATCTCCTGCCATCCACCATCAATTTCATGTTGATGCAAAGTTAAGCTGGCCATAATGTGGCCTTAAAAGATTCACTTTCCACAAATTTGCCTAATTCCCTTTAAATGCCAACAGTAGAACTTGAGGCACTAAACTTGATAAATTAATATTGTGCTCTGTAAGTACTACTTATTTTGTCTTTCCCAGGCCTCCTGACAGATCTATTTTTAATGAATTTTTTATTTTCTTAACATAAACAAATACAGAAAAAAGAGAAACACATATCAAACAAGCAAGCTGAAATGAACAAAGTTGCCAAGGGTATTTTACACAAATACAACCAATACTTTTAAAACCTTCAACCCTCCAAATTGATCTGTCCTTCTGACTCAGCCCTCTATGGGGGTTTATCGAAAAGGAAATCATTCATCTGTATAACAACAAATCTTCCAATTGCTTCCAATCCTCTCTTGCTTCCCCCCCACCCCCAACTCCTTTCAAAATCCATTAATCATACTGAGAATGGTAAAATTTCCATTTGTCATGAAATTCTCCTCTCTTCTATTTACATAGTTGGTTAACTTTGCCATCACTGCATATTCTGCTAGTCTATTTTTCCATTCTTCAATTGGTGGGGGCTCTGATGATTTCGATGTAGAAGTAATTGTGATTCTTGCTGCAGTTGTCATGTATTTAAAAAGCTTTGACATATTCTTTGAAAAGATCTCTGGCTTTATAGTCAAAAGCATATTCTTGAGACTCATAGGACACTTAATTTTTTTGTATTTCTACATGTATTAATTTAAATTTTTTTTCATTATATCACAAGTCCACCACCTGGGCGGGAGAGGGAGGGGATGTTGCCCTCTCCCAATTGTGCCCGCCCGGGTATCTGGTTCAACACTGTTCACGCCCAGAAGGGAGGGGAGGGGGAGTCGCGTTGGTTTATCAAGCCTCCATCTCTCTCATGGGTCTTCCGGTCCCTTCGAGACCAGGGCTGGAGAGCCTCTACTTGGTGTTGGGCGAACGAGACAGATTGGGGATTCTATTGGTGTACCGTGCACCCTTCTGCCCAGCAGTCTCCCTATCTGAGCTGACAGAGACCGTCTCGGACCTGGTGTTGAGGACCCCCAGGATGTGGGTCCTGGGGGACTTCAATCTCCATGCCGTGGCTAGTCTGACTGGGGCGGCTCGGGACATCATGGCCTCTATGACGGCCATGGGCCTGTCTCAACACGTCATCGGCCCGACCCATGAATGTGGACACACTCTGGACCTGGTTTTCTCGACGAGGCAGGAAGAGGATGACCTGAGGGTGAGGAACTTATGTTTGACTCCCCTGTCATGGTCAGATCACCTCCTGGTGAGGTTTGTGCTCGAGAGCGGCCTCTCCCTCTATAAGAGTGCG